TTGGCATCAGAACCCAAATGCAGGCAATTCTGCTGAAAGTTCATGCTTATCTATGACGACAAAGCATGAAAGGCCTATCAAACCTTATTGGTTAGACCTGAAAATGATAGAGGGATCTAGAATTAGTGTGATAAGACTCCACTATGTGTTTCAGAGCTTAATTCCAATGTTTGGTCTGTGTTTTGCATCAGAACCCAAATGCAGGCAATTCTGCTGAGAGTTCATGCTTATATATGACGACAAAGCATGAAAGGCCTATCAAACCTTAATGGTTTGACCTGAAAATAATAGGGGGATCTAGAATTAGTGTGATAAGACTCCACTATGAGTTTCAGAGCTTAATTCCAATGTTTGGTCTGTGTTTTGCATCAGAACCCAAATGCAGGCAATTCTGCTGAGAGTTCAGGCTTATCTATGAAGACAAAGCATGAAAGGCCTATCAAAACTTATTGGATAGACCTGAAAATGATAGAGGGATCTAGAATTAGTGTGATAAGACTCCACTATGAGTTTCAGAGCTTTATTCCAATGTTTGGTCTGTGTTTTGCATCAGAACCCAAATGCAGGCAATTCTGCTGAGAGTTCAGGCTTATCTATGACGACAAAGCATGAAAGGCCTATCAAACCTTATTGGATAGACCTGAAAATGATAGAGGGATCTAGAATTAGTGTGATAAGACTCCAATATGAGTTTCAGAGCTTAATTCCAATGCTTGGTCTGTGTTTTCCATCAGAACCCAAATGCAGGCAATTCTGCTGAGAGTTCATGCTTATATATGACGACAAAGCATGAAAGACCTATCAAACCTTAATGGTTTGACCTGAAAATAAAAGGAGAATCTAGAATTTGTGTGATGAGACTCCCCTATGAGTTTCAGAGCTTAATTCCAATGTTTGGTCTGTGTTTTGCATCAGAACCCAAATGCAGGCAATTCTGCTGAGAGTTCAGGCTTATCTATGACGACAAAGCATGAAAGGCCTATCAAACCTTATTGGATAGACCTGAAAATGATAGAGGGATCTAGAATTAGTGTGATAAGACTCCACTATGAGTTTCAGAGCTTAATTCCAATGTTTGGTCTGTGTTTTGCATCAGAACCCAAATGCAGGCAATTCTGCTGAGAGTTCATGCTTATATATGACGACAAAGCATGAAAGGCCTATCAAACCTTAATGGTTTGACCTGAAAATAATAGGGGGATCTAGAATTTGTGTGATGAGACCCCCCTATGAGTTTCAGAGCTTTATTCCAATGGTTGGTCTGTGTTTTGCATCAGAACCCAAATGCAGGCAATTCTGCTGAGAGTTCAGGCTTATCTATGACGACAAAGCATGAAAGGCCTATCAAACCTTATTGGATAGACCTGAAAATGATAGAGGGATCTAGAATTAGTGTGATAAGACTCCACTATGAGTTTCAGAGCTTAATTCCAATGTTTGGTCTGTGTTTTGCATCAGAACCCAAATGCAGGCAATTCTGCTGAGAGTTCAGGCTTATCTATGACGACAAAGCATGAAAGGCCTATCAAACCTTATTGGATAGACCTGAAAATGATAGAGGGATCTAGAATTAGTGTGATAAGACTCCACTATGAGTTTCAGAGCTTAATTCCAATGTTTGGTCTGTGTTTTGCATCAGAACCCAAATGCAGGCAATTCTGCTGAGAGTTCAGGCTTATCTATGACGACAAAGCATGAAAGGCCTATCAAACCTTATTGGTTAGACCTGAAAATGATAGAGGGATCTAGAATTAGTGTGATAAGACTCCACTATGAGTTTCAGAGCTTAATTCCAATGTTTGGTCTGTGTTTGGCATCAGAACCCAAATGCAGGCAATTCTGCTGAAAGTTCATGCTTATCTATGACGACAAAGCATGAAAGGCCTATCAAACCTTATTGGTTAGACCTGAAAATGATAGAGGGATCTAGAATTAGTGTGATAAGACTCCCCTAAGAGTTTGAGAGATTAATTCCAATGTTTGGTCTGTGTTTTGCATCATAACCCAAAATGGTGACACAAAATGGTGCAGGTTGCTGAAGCATCCAAACGTGAGTAGGCAGACAGCCAACATAGTTGATGATAACAGCAGCACAAACTTCAAAACCAAAAAATAACATTCTTGATATTCACACCTGTCCATGATAGCCAGAGAATGAGTTGTGATGTCATAGGAACTTCATTGGAGTAGCTTGATATATTGTTCTTGGTGAGTGAATTTCACCCAGAAACATTTTTAAATCCTAAACTGTAGAGGATGCCTACGGAAGATGCTAGAGCCATTCAGAAGATGATTTGCATCACTAACCTCTCAGATATCAGTGTTTAAAGGTACGCCTGAAGGGAGGCATTTGGAGCCAAGAACCACCCTCAAATGTGTTTTTTGCTACTATCTCATTTGTTGTACGTTATGGACTGGCTAAATCTATCGTATCATAAAAAAAATAACACAACCAAAAAGTTCCCAAGACTTATCCAATTCTGTGGGCTCCAATTTGGCTTGTTTCAGATCCTTATTGTGCTATTTAGTCAGTATGTAAGCACCAAAGTTTGCTCATCTTGACAGTTATGCATGTTACTGGCGACATCTATGCGCGACCCCCATGTGGCGACCGTCGCTGCGACGCTGTTCATGCAGCCCGAAATCTTTACGGAATGTTTGCGAAATTTGTGAACCATATTTTTATAGCTATATGAGGACTTTTTTTACGCCCGTCTGCGTCCTGTCTGATTTCGTCGGGCAAATCTTGAAATTTGCTAGGCGCTTGTCTATTTCGCGTGCGCAAGTCTACGTCGACACGGAAATGCACGTTCCCCGTCTGAGGCTCCATAGATTCCTGGGTCATACCACTGCCGATGAACAGTCCAGACATGGTCTTATCGGAACAGTTTGCCAGCCTGGTTGCAATACGCGCCAATCCACACTCACCAATCTGCCAGCTACGAGGGGTTTTGCACAGGTTGGGGTGGGCACACCAGGCTGGCAAGGTAAGTATGGCGCAGCGCTGTCCATGCGTTGGCATTGCAGATGGCATTTTCATGCAGTTGTCACTCGTGTCTGTTCTCCAACTGTTGCGCTTCATTCAACAGTAAGTGCTGACAAATATTTTTTCGATTTGTGAAGTCATTTTCGGGGCAAACATCGACTCAGATGCAATGAGAAATAAATAAGTGCGAGGATGGGTGTGGCAGATGTTTAGAAAAGACAGGCACGGGAAGCGGCAACATTTTGAGGTTGATTTTAAAGCAGTGGTTGCCAAACCAGCGAATCCACACTCACCAAGCTGCCAGATACGAGGGCTTTTTTACAGGCTGGCGGTGGGCACACCAGGCTGGCAAGTTAAGGATGGCGCAGTGCTGTCCTTTATGTTAGCATTGCATATGAACTTTCCGAGCAGTTGTTTCTTGCGTCTGTTATCGAACTGTTGCGCTTCATTCAACAGTTACAGCTGACAAATATTTTGTCACTTTGTCGTGATACTTCTCGTGCCAATGAAAAGAAGTGTGAGGATGGGTGTGGATGATGTTTAGAGCAGACATCCACGGAAAAAAGCAACCTTTTGGGTGGTAATTTACAGTACTTCGTTAAAACCCAATACTCATGATGCTGACAGCGGCGGGTGCAAGGGTGGAGTATGGAAGAAACACCTTTGTCTTGCGTGTTGAATGACAGGTGGCAACACTGCCATCGATTTTGTCGTCAAGCACAGTTCAGCCGAACCACAGTCAGAGCTGTAGGCTGTACCGTTTTTTTCCTCGACAGAGACGACAACGATAAAAAAAAGATCGAAGAGTGGCATATTTCCGCCAGTTTGGGGACGGAAATTTTTTTCCTAGCGAGGACATACCATCCTGTTACTGTATGTGTGGGCGAGGAAGGACAACAGAGATAACCAAGTAGTCCAGAAACTACACAAACCTGACTGACGCGATACGACAACACGTACCAGTTGACACATTTCCACGCTTCAGAAACAGGTGATGAAGTTTCGGGAGGATCCTGTCCTTCTCAAAGTACAATCACATGTCAATGCTGCCAGTCCTATTTCAGTTGAGCGTGGCACATTGAGACAAAATGGTCCCTTAGAAAATCACGTTCGTTGTGTTCTTGGGGCTGGACTCTAGAAACATTTCGGGATGTGTTCACTTTCTTGAGGTCCACCAGTAGGGTTCGTGTCAACACCAGCAGAAAAAAAAGGAAAAAGGTGTTGAGAGTATCAAACCGGGGTGGAAAGAAATTGTTACCACAAAGATAGAAAGTCACCCTACAGTTTTCAAACACGGCCTCAATGTCCTCTAGCAAACAATGAGGTCAGGACTACAGGCACGTAGGGAAGCTGAAGCTCGCGTTACCTTTGCTGAGACAGCTCCAGCTCCAGGCACGTAGAGAACCTGAAGCTCACGTTTACCTTAGTTGGGACTGCACCAGGCACGTAGGGAACCTAAAGCTCACGTTTCCTTTGCTGAGACAGCTCGAGTTCCAGGCACGTAGGGAACCTGACGCTGTCGTTACCTTTACTGAGACAGCTCGGGTTAGGTTCCCTTGCATGCAGTCACGCTACCCGTGACTGCAGCTATGGCGTTTTCCACGGAACAAGGCACGGCGAAGCCCCAGTGACGATGTCCACTCAAACCGTGTCGCTGAGTAATGCATCTAGTCACGGCCTACTTATCCTGCATCTCCGCTCTGAACGGGAAGTCACCAGTCATGCGGAATCGCGCCGCACGATTTCGTGATCGTATGACGCGCCGTTGACTGGCTGGCAGCGCATCTACGCAGCGGCTTGAGATGCTTTGGAACTTCACTGTGAGCTAAGGGATGGGGTGGATGTACATAACTGGAAGGGCAATGCCTTGCATTCTATCATCAAAACATTCAACTCTTTGTTTGGGAGCTGTGATCCCTCTCTCTAGGCCAGTTGTACTCGTATTTTCGCATCGGGAATTACAGCATCGCCTAGTATCTTCTTGAATATAACCTGGTGGTCTTGTGTACGTCTCATGACAGGGTCCAAACCAAGCTCTAGAGGTCGAGATGCGGTGGAAGAGGACAACGAAGGCGAGCATGTGGACAACTCTCGGGAGGGAGCCATTACACCGAGAAAGTCTGGGCGAAAGAGGCGCAGGAGGGTGCGCATTGGGGAAGAAGAGTCTCAATCCGGTGAAGACGCACCAGAGCGTGATTCGGGCGATGGAGGAGAGACCACCGCGCGGGACTCTTCTTCCTGCCATGATGAGACAACCGGGCTGGGAGCTTCAACTGATGAGGCTCATGGTTTAAACAACGATGACGAGGGACCGGACGGCCCATACGACGCTGAGGACGAAGATGCTCGCGACGTGGAGGATGATGAGGAGGCTACGAACGAGGATGGTGACGATGAAGATTCAGACGAGGATGCTAACGATGAGTACGGGGAGGAGGTTGATGACGAGGTACAGGAGGAGGATGAACAGGAGGAGGAACAGGAGGATGAACAGGAGGAGGAACAGGAGGATGAACAGGAGGAGGAACAGGAGGATGAACAGGAGGAGGAACAGGAGGATGAACAGGAGGAGGATCAGGAGGAGGATGAACAGGAGGAGGATGAACAGGAGGAGAATGAACAAGAGGAGGAAGATGAGGAGGAGCAGGAGGAGGAACAGGAGGAGGAACATGAGGAGGAACATGAGAAGGAACATGTGGAGGAACGGGAGGAGGAACAGGAGACGGAACAGGAGAATCAGGGGGGACGGGAGGAGGAACAGCAGGAGAGAGGCGAGCATGAGACTGAGGCGGAACCTGGTAACAACGATGCCGAGTGCGACATGGATCCCAACAGCCGTGAAGAAGAGGCTGTGGCTGAGGAAAGGGCCAGACAAAGGGGGCGGATGTTGCCAATTTCAATGCTCGGCGGCAAGGTCGTAATGGCAGACGGAAAAAAATTGACGACGCACTCTGGAAAGGGTCCAGAGCAACCGAAAAAGAGAGAGATGAAGCATGCTGCTCGCGAGGAAAAGAAGGAGAGAGGTGCTGCGGCGGTTCAAGAGTTGGATAAGGGTGCAGTTCGAGAGGGGGGGTTGGTGAAGAAGTCGGGTGGGGGTGTGTTGGCCTGGTTGGATGACCCTAATGTGTCTGTGTTCTGCATGGACAAGGGTGAGGGTTCAAAGACCCTTCATGTACCGGGCAGGGAGGTGGGAAACAAGTGCGGGAAGGGAGCAAGAACGGAAGGGAAGAACGAGAAGGGGGCTATTGGCGGTAAGGGAACATCTCAAAGACAAGAGGGAAGGGGGATGGGCGGAGGGGGGACGGGCGGAGTCAAGGCAGGGGCGATGGGCGGAGTCATGGCAGAGGGGGTGGGAGGAGTCAAGGGAGAGGGGATGGATGGAAAGGCGGTCGCTGTGGGCAGATGCAAGGCAGGGGGAATGAGCGGAGGCAAGGCAGAGGGGCTGGGCGGAGGCAACGGCGGGGGAATGGGCGGAGGCCAGGCAGGGGGGATGGGTGCAAGCCAGGCAAGGGGGGTGGGAGGTAGCAAGGCAGAGGGAACGGGCGGAAACAAGGCAGGTGGGAGGGGTGGAGGCAAGGCAGGGGGGATGGAAGGTGGCTATTCAGGGGGAATGGGCGGAGATAAGGCAGGGGGAAGGGGAGGAGACAAGGCATGGGGAACGGGAGGAGGCAAGGAAGAGGGGTCCGGTGGAAGCAAGGCAGGGGGAACGGGAGGAGGCAAGGCAGGGGGAACGGGAGGAGGCAAGGCAGGGGGAACGGAAGGAGGCAAGGCAGGGGGAACGGGAGGAGGCAAGGCGGAGGGAACGGGAGGAGGCAAGGCGGGGGGAACGGGAGGAGGCAAGGCAGGGGGAACGGGAGGAGGCAAGGCGAGGGGAACGGGAGGAGGCAAGGCAGGGGGAACGGGAGGAGGCAAGGCAGGGGGAACGGGAGGAGGCAAGGCAGGGGGAACGGGAGGAGGCAAGGCAGGGGGAACGGGAGGAGGCAAGGCAGGGGGAACGGGAGGAGGCAAGGCAGGGGGAACGGGAGGAGGCAAGACAGGGGGAACGGGAGGAGGCAAGGCAGGGAGAACGGAAGGAGGCAAGGCAGGGGGAACGGGAGGAGGCAAGGCAGGGAGAACGGAAGGAGGGGGGGCTCGTGGAGTTGGAGGGAAGGAAAAAGTTGACGAGGTTGGTGATTCGGAGAAGAGTCTGGCACCTAAGCAACACGCTGGAGGGAGTGGCAGGGGAACATCAGGTATGTGAGAAAGGGGGTTGGGTGGGAGGTTTGGGTGTTGAGGATTCAGGGGGGGTTGAAATTGGGAGGTGGGGAAGAGGGTTTATGGTTCAGAGGGGGGGTTAGGAGAGGGGGGTTTTGGGTTTAAGGGGGATGGTAGAGGCGGGAAGGGGAGTGGGAGAGGGGGTCAGGGTTTAGGAGGGATGGTAGTGGGGGAGGGGGTTTAGGGTTTAAGGGATAGTAGAAGGGCAAAGGGGGGTGGGAGAGAGGGTTTAGGGTTTTGGGGGATGGTAGAGTTGATGAATGGGGGTGGGATGGGGGTTAGGGTTTAAGGGGATGGTAGGGGGGGAGGGGGGTTGAGGGTTTAAGGGGGATGGTAGAAGGGGGGACGGGGGGTGGGAGAGGGGGGTTTCGGGTTTTGGGGGGATGGTAGGGGGGGGGGGGAAGGGGGTTGGGAGAGAGTGTGGAGGGGTGTCATCGGGGGGTGAGAGAGAGGGTTATGGCTATAGAGAGGGGTGGTAAGGGGGGGGGGGAAGGGTGGTTGGGGCGATGGGATTCAGGGTTTACAGGGGAGTGGTACAGGGGGGAAAGGGGGTTGCAGAGGTGGGGTTGCTCAACGCAAAAGCACAGTTAATCCACTGTTGTCATTCTCTTGCATTCGTGTTGTGTTGCTCCTAACCCTTGTCTTCCCTTGCTACAGAAAACCTTGTGTACTTGATGAGTTGCCCCTAAACTCTGTTGTTTATTGTCTCTTCGCCCTCAAGCTCTGTTATGTTATTCGTGATGCTTTATTTCTGTGCCCTGCTGTTCCGCATTTACCCATACTTTCCAAGTCAGGGGCAGGACCATCGGGAACATGCACAGCACGTGACAGCACATGGGTGGAATTTGGGTCGTGCAAGGAAGGAGCTGCAGTGCTTTGCTCGGAGAGTCAACTAAAGCGAATGAAGGGGGCGGCCTCTAAGACGGACCTGGTGGCATTGGAAGCGCGATTACTGACTGCTATTAACAAGAAATTTGGCGGTGGAGGCGATGTGATTGCGATGATGACCGATCCCAATGCAGAGGCCGGAGGGGATGATGCTCCTGCCTCTTCATCGCTCACCAATCCTGCCAAACCAGCACCGGCAAAATCAGCTCCGGCCAGTCCGTTCGCCATTGCTAAGGATGTGGTTGCCAAAGGGGTCTCTGACTTCGAGGTTAGTATCCATGTTAACATTCGCTGATCCGCCCTCTAGAGACTCTTTAACGCTCGCCCTCCTCACACCGTCTCGAATCCCCTTCCTCTTCCACATCTCTCCCTCCCCCCCCAGCAATCCCACCCGGGACCTATAAAACCTTGAGCGATTGATTGTACCCCGAACGTGGAACATCACTTACTGCAACGTGCCATCCCATTTCCTTCCAACCCTAACTCACAAACCTCCAGGATTTTGGTGTGGATGACCGTAAACCCTGGAACATCCCTCCCTCCCTCCACCAACCCCCCTCCCGCCTAACTCGACCCTCTAAACACTCCATCCCCCCATCCACCACCCACCCCTTACCCTTCAATCCTAGTGTTTTGGCGACAATGGTCCTGAAGTCCTGAACTCCCTCTCCCCCTTTCCACCCTTCCCCCATGTCATTCTTAAACCTTCCCCTTTCCACCCTCATGTTATAGGTGAGGATGACCCTGAGGCCTTGAAACCCCTTTCTCCCTCCACTCACCCTCTTGGCCCCTTTAAACCCTTTCCCCCCCCCCCACCTTCAGGATTTTGGCATGTATAACCCTAAATCCTACAACATTCCTCCCCCCTCCCCCCCCCTCCTCCTGCCTCCTCCCCCTCTGAAACCTTCTTCCCTCTGCCCACCCTTCACCCACTTACACCCCTCCTCATCCACACACCACCCCTGTCCTTCCTAAACCCTCCTCTTTCCACCCCCAGGCTTTTCCTGATGATAATCCAAGAACCTTGACACATAATCACCCTCCTGCATAACCCCCCTCCAAACCCTCCCTCCTCCCACCCACCTGAAACCCCCCAACCTCTAAACCCCATGGGTGTTGGCGAGGTGAACCTTAAGGGTCTGAAATCCCCATCCCCCTTCACTCACCCACTCTGGTATCCCTAAACCCTCCCTCAGGAATTTTGGTGTGTTTGACCTTAAACCCTTGAAACATCTTTCCCCTGCTCCACCAACCCTGCACTCCCCTTCACCCTCTCCCAAACCCTAAACCCTCCCCTCCCCCCTTGCCCCCCTCCCCACCCCGTTCCAACCCCTAAACCACAGGAGCTTTGTAAGAGTGTGGTGACTTTCATGTGTTACAACATTGAAGCAAAGCTGATTCAGTTCTATCCCACAGTTGACGAAGCCTTGGAGGTGGGGTTCAAGGAATTTGTGTCGCCGGAAGTTTTAGTTGCGCTCCAGAAGCTTTTTATGCACAATGATCCAGGAACACGTGGTGTGTTCTATGCTCTTGTTTCAACCACCCGGACCACCATCAATGGCACGATGCGCAAGCAAGCCTTGACTGCGCTGGGTTGGGAGAACAACTCTTGCTACCTCACGAAGCTTCTTCCGGAGCTGCCACGGCCAAAGGAATTTCTCAAAACGGAAGCATTCAAGGCACGCTACATGAGTGGTACGTTTTGTATGCTGGAGTGTGTTATATTATCAATGAATAGTATACATTAGTGAGATTTGTTTCAATGTGGTTTGCAAATGTGTTGTGAATGTTTTGTGTGTGTGTGGGTGGGTGTGTGTGTGTGTGTGTGTGTGTATGTGTGTGAGTGTGATTGTGTGACAGGTCGTTGGGGTCTTGGTTGGCACTGCGATGAGCACGGAAAGCCATTTGCAACGCTGATTTTTGCAGTGTCGGTGCGTCACGCATTGACGAGGCGCGGAGTAGTGCTGGACAAGCTGAAGATTCGACAGATTGCCTGGATCCTGTATGCTGTAAGTGGTAGCAGATATGCAAGTGTTGTATTTAACTGCATGCAGTTGCTATGTGTTCGAACCCTTAACCTTAGAAGCAGTGGGTGGATGACCTCACAATTTCTCCTTCCTACCTACACACTCTTCACTCCAATCTCCTTCACCTCGGCTTCCCACTTCTCCCCTTTTCACCCTCTGTTTTCCCCACTCCCCCCCACCATTTTCATAATGCAAGTACCTTGAATGGCTTCAAACTTGGATTGAGGCTCAAACGCTTCTATTTCCCTAATCACTATCAAACCCCCGGTTCCTTAAACCAATCTTGTGTGGCATTCCATATACTAAGCATTCCTCATTTCACCACTCCATCTCCTCTCCACTATTTTTTCCCTCCCCCCTTGCCATGCCAGTGAAGGGCTTCTATACTGCTGTGGGGCAAGATGACCATAGACCTCAAACCCGAAACCATTAAAGTTTTGACCATTACCCTACCCTTTTTTGGCTCTTGTTTTCCCTCAATCAGGTGGAATGGCCATTTTTGGATCAGTCCCCGGAGCGAAGGTTGTCGGGCAAGTCTGAAGAAAACCGTCTCAACTACGAAGCGATGTGCTCCCGTTGCAAGGAGTGGGTGGAGTTCGCGGTGATGGAGCATGGAGTGGCGTACGATAGCGGCATGGATGTGTTCGTCTTTCCGAAGCACATCTTGATCGACGCCAGCGACTTTGGGCCTTTCGTTGCAAGGTTGCAGGTATGTCAAAGCTTTCGATGTGAAACCATATATGCATGATATCAAGTGGACTTACATAGATGTTATTTGATTGTGCAGAACACTCCAACTATCCAAATGTTATGAATGACCATGGATCAAGGCAGCATGAAACGTGGTGCATGTGTGGGCCAGTAATAAGTGATGGGCCGCAGTAAATGTGGGGCAGCAGTAAGCGTGGGGCAGCAGTGGACTTGGGGAAACAGTAAGCGTGGGGCAGCAGTGGACTTGGGGAAACAGTAAGCGTGGGGCAGCAGTAGACTTGGGGCATCAGCCAATGTGGGGCAGAAATGAATATTTTGCGCTCAGCAAGTGTGGTGGCAGCAATAATGGGACAGCAACAGAGTGGCGACAGCATGTGTGCGGCAACAGCAAACAGAGGGCAGCAACAACTGAAAGGTAGCAAAATGCGAGTGTCAGCATGACACATGGGGCAGCTACTGGTGTGGGATAGCAGCATGTGTGTGGCAGCAGCAGGGATGGAGCAGCAAGTGAGGGGTAGTACCATGTGGGGCAGCAGCAGGGATGGAGCAGCAAGTGAGGGGTAGTACCATGTGGGGCAGCAACAGAGATGGAGCAGCAAGTGAGGGGTAGTACCATGTGGGGCAGCAGCAGGGATGGAGCAGCAAGTGAGGGGTAGTACCATGTGGGGCAGCAGCAGGGATGGAGCAGCAAGTGAGGGGTAGTACCATGTGGGGCAGCAACAGAGATGGAGCAGCAAGTGAGGGGTAGTACCATGTGGGGCAGCAGCAGGGATGGAGCAGCAAGTGAGGGGTAGTACCATGTGGGGCAGCAGCAGGGATGGAGCAGCAAGTGAGGGGTAGTACCATGTGGGGCAGCAGCAGGGATGGAGCAGCAAGTGAGGGGTAGTACCATGTGGGGCAGCAGCAGGGATGGAGCAGCAAGTGAGGGGTAGTACCATGTGGGGCAGCAGCAGGGATGGAGCAGCAAGTGAGGGGTAGTACCATGTGGGGCAGCAGCAGGGATGGAGCAGCAAGTGAGGGGTAGTACCATGTGGGGCAGCAGCAGGGATGGAGCAGCAAGTGAGGGGTAGTACCATGTGGGGCAGCAGCAGGGATGGAGCAGCAAGTGAGGGGTAGTACCATGTGGGGCAGCAGCAGGGATGGAGCAGCAAGTGAGGGGTAGTACCATGTGGGGCAGCAGCAGGGATGGAGCAGCAAGTGAGGGGTAGTACCATGTGGGGCAGCAGCAGGGATGGAGCAGCAAGTGAGGGGTAGTACCATGTGGGGCAGCAACAGAGATGGAGCAGCAAGTGAGGGGTAGTACCATGTGGGGCAGCAACAGAGATGGAGCAGCAAGTGAGGGGTAGTACCATGTGGGGCAGCAACAGAGATGGAGCAGCAAGTGAGGGGTAGTACCATGTGGGGCAGCAACAGAGATGGAGCAGCAAGTGAGGGGTAGTACCATGTGGGGCAGCAACAGAGATGGAGCAGCAAGTGAGGGGTAGTACCATGTGTGGCGGCACTAGAGATGCAGCAGCTAGGGGTAGTACCATTAGTGTGGCAGCTTGTGTATGGCAGTAGCAAAAGTTAGGCAGCAAAGGGTGACGGATAGGAACACGAGTGTGGGAGCAACAAAGATGGAGCAGCACCAAGTGAGGAGTAGCAGTATATGTGTAGCAGCAGGAAAGACGGGGCAACACCGAGTGATGGATGTGTGGCAGCCACAATCTTGAAGCAATTGCAAGTGTAGGGCAGCCGTCAAGAGGTTGGGATAGAGGGATGGGCAGTAGAGGGGGGGACAAGAGCGGTATGACGAAGGGTGGGGTGCGGGGTGAGCAGCCATGAAAGGGGGGGTGATGAATGCGAAAGCTCCAGTATGGGAGTGGCGGCATTGTAGGCGATGGTTGCATTGTAATGTGTAGGGCAGTTATTTGGATATATTAGCTTTGTAATAGTGTTTAATTAATGGCAAATTTGGCCCCCAACCAGTGCTCGATCCTTCATAAGTGGAACGAAATTGGTGTGCATATGGAGCAAAATGGGACAAATCTCTTCCTGGATTTGGCCTGTACTTTGCCTAAGAAGATACCTAATTCAGACATGATTCCTACCTTGTTTTAACCCTGATTTTGGCCAATATCCAACCTTCCAACTATTCCAAATTTGGTCTCCCAAAAAGGACCAAATTTGGGCCAATTTTAGTCCCACAAGACCAAATTTGGACCAATTTTGGCCCAAATTAGGGGGCCTTGTTTTGTGATGTTACCGAAAACGAACAACGAAGCGTTCTCCAATGCCAATCACCCAAGAATTCTGGGTAGATCAGGGCAAGTTGCGTCAGCGCCAAGCAGCAGAGACAACCGATTTCCCGACTTACCCCGCAGATTCTGACTTTGTAGCTGTTGGTATAAGGGATCCGTGGTCTCCCTGCTCCCCACTGGACCAATGTGTTGCCCCAAGCCCGTCCTCGGAGTGCTCTCCAATCTCTGCTCCTGCTCCTGCTCTCATTGATTCGGCTAAGTTGCAACACAGCCGTCAGGAGCAGGAGCCAAGGTGCTGCTTGGCGGAGGGAGATGCGCCCCCTTGTGACATTGCCACGTGTGACACAACAGATGGTGCAGCTGATGAGGAGGTTCAGAAGCGTTCCCAAGCAGCTTCTCAGAGCGGAGTTGATGGTGCTGCGGAAGGGGAAACTCCAAGCACACAGATTCAAATGCTGAGAAAGCAGGGGAATATTGCCCATAGGCGTGGGTTTTCTGTTACCTCGCTAGAGAATTCCACAGAAACACAAGGAGCCGACAAGAAAGGGGCAAGGAGAGGAGGTAGTGGTGGTAACATCGAGAGTTTGATGAGAAGAAGGAGCAGCTATTCTTCCAACGGATCATGTGGCTGTGTGGCAGGAGGGAGTGGTGGATGCAGCCATTCTCCTTTTTGTAAAATTATGTCCACAGCCCCCCCTGTGTTCGTGTGGGCTGCTAGAAGGAGGATGGAGAGAAGGGCCTCCCTAAGTGATGCTGTGATTTCATGCACAACTTCATTGTGACTGAAAAAAAACCAAGATACTTCATATGAAGGCTAGATTGGCCAAAAAATATTTGCTACCCTAGTTGGACTGAAGCAAAAAACCTGCTGAAGCAAAAGTACCAGTTTTGTCAAGTTTGTGACCACACCCCACAGGAGTTGTGCTTTGATTTTCTGTGAATAGAAGCAGCAAAAATAAGTAGGCAGAGGATGCTGTGGTTGCGCTAAGCACTAGAATAATGTATTAAGTTGTGATAAACCATAGGTTGTAAAAGATTAATGCAGTTACAGTGAACACCTGGTTGCATTATCGAAATGTTCCAGACGAGCTTTCTCGTTTATACAATCACCACCATATCACTGCACTTCGTTCCAAACCGCAACGGGGCAGGCACTTGTGATTCTACAGAATCCTGCCGATTCTCTAGTTCTGCTAGACTGCCCGTCGTTGAATGCACAATCATTCCCAGAATTTGCACTGCAAACTGCTCATTGTCAACTGGGTTTCGGGTGTACCTTTTTTCCACATCTTCCCAGGGTTGAGGGCTGCGAGAAAGAAAGGAGCACCACCAGCAAGAGGGTTGCTCGGTGCTGGTAACCCTAGCATCCTTCTCACATCGAGATTGTTTAGTGCTCACCTCACCCTTTCAGGAGCAGGGTCTTCCACCACCTCACTCACACACAAGCTTGGTCCAGCCCTTACAACGACACTAGCCAGCCATGTAACTTTGACCGAGAAACACCTAGCGGGTTAAACTCGTCACTCATCACCAGGCACCGTTCCACATCAGCACGGCTGGTGTTTTCGTTTCGATCTGCCAATGTGGCCAGACCACCAAGCCATTGCTGCCGAGCTCAGTCGAATTTTTGGACCAATGCCCATCCAGACCCGCGTGTCCTATTGTGCAACGCACACGTGAGTTTCATGCAGTACACCCGATGTTTGTTAGACTTTACTTTTATCGAGTTGTGCTTTGAGCTTATCAACGTTTTAGGCATTGGGCCCAGTTCGTTCCATTTCGCCAGGGTTTCGAGGTGCTTCTAAAAAACACAGAATTTTGGGTTTGTGCTTGTTTCTGGCCAAGAATCAAGAACCTACCGGGTCAGCATGGTTTGTTTTGCGCCTAAGATTCTTACTTTGGCGTTTTCTCGCCCAAATGCAAGTTGATCCGCGTGCCTATAATCTGGGTGCAACTGAGTGGGAAAAAAAACAAGGTGCAGAGTTTCTGAAATGTACAGGGCGAATTCGCGCGCAGTGGCTGGGCATTATGTGTACTTGCTCATTTGGTTTCGAATCACCATATTGCTACTGTTGGCAAAGTTACCTTCCCTTGGAGCTTCCTCTTGGGTGCGAGCGTGTGTACGCACAACTTGTGAACCCATCAAGCTTCACGGGAAAACCTTGAACCGTCGCACGTTCGCCTGCATCAATGGAGCGCGCTTGGAAAGTATTTCTAAAGCAGGAGATTCTTAACTTTTTTTCAGTTGCAGCTTCGTGTTCCAGAGAGTCTTAGTCTCGTTACTACCTTAAGCTGTGAGCTTTCCAGACACGTTCAAGTTCACTCTAGGAACAGCTCTCGAGAGGGTCAGATTCTGTAGCAGGAAGTTTTCACACCGCTGAACCTATTCCGCTGGTTCCGCGCTCCAAACGTCCGTTGTGCTTCACCTTAACGCTGTTTGAAAAGAGCCAGTCTCAGGCTTGTACCAGGGGGGAAAAGAAACATCTTCAGCACTTCTGCCATCAGTAATGGATTTCACGCACAGCAGCATGATGGATTCCGGATCAACCGCCGTCTTTCTCAACTTGAAGTCCCGGGTCTCCAACGTAGATCGCCGGCTTGAGGCGTGGAACCGGGCTACAGGCTGCTCATCCAACCCAGCACTTTTGCAATCACCTCTTCAAAGGCTTGCTCCCAGTTTTGAGGTGCCTCAAAAGCCATTCTACCCAGCGCTTCTTCCGCAAACGCCTTCTCCCAGGCTTGTTCCGAGAACGTGCGACTACGATGTGGTATCCAGGCTCAACGATCAACCGAGGGCTGCTTTGGATCTGAGTTCTTGCAGAAATCTGGTGCCTCTGGATTTCCCAGCTTCTGCGACTGGCCGGGGATCCTGCTCAGCTGGGCTTTGCACTGCTAACGAGCTTTTGTCAGAATGCGCTTCGGTTGCACCTGATTCCTGCTGGAGTGCAACGTGGGACAGATTGGACGATGCAGATGACGAGGTGGGTGCGAGGTGTTCCGAGGCAGCTTCGCCGTGCGGCGATGATGGTGACGTGGCAGGAGAAGCTGCAAAGGAGGAGAATATTACTCACCGGCGTGGGTTTGCTGTTACGTGGCTGGAGAACTATGTGAAAACAGGAGAATACCGCAAGGGAGGGATGAGGAGAGGAGGAAGTGTGAATGACCTTGCAATGAGAGGAAAGATTAGCTGCTTTTGCAGTAAGGATTGTGGGTGTGTTGCAAGTGGTGGGAGTGGTGGAATCAGCAGCGTCGTGTCTCCAGTGTGCAAAATAATGTCGACAGCTCCTCCTATCTTTGTTTGGGCTGCTAAAAGGCGGATGGAGAGAAGGGCTTCAGAAAGCGGAGCTGTGGTCCCATGCAGAATGTTTTGATGATATTGTGGTGCTAATGTGAATGTAAATTTATAATGGAGTGTGCTTAACTCTAGGGATGAATAATGATATAGTAAGCTTCTAACTAACTCGTTGAAAGTGTAACGAATATGCTTCCATCTTGTGCATGTACGTGTTGTTCCTGCCATGTCTGGACAGTCCCTTCGCGTGCCACGTCAGACGCGATGGGATTCCTCGCATTCACGCCTCCAAATTGAAAGAAGAACCATTCGCTAAACCTGAAAACCGTTGTAAAAAGGCCCTGGAAACCTAATTCTTTCGTAGTTGCATATGCAGCAGCTGCACTCAAAAGCAGATTCTCCCCGTTCCTGGTTCATGTTCTTGGTGCTTCCTAGACTTCCCAGTACAAGACGCTGTATTGGCTCAGGAGAATCCTGAACACCTGAGATGCTAGGCCTCATTTGGCTGGGGTCTAGGTCTTCGTCAATTCTTTCAGGGCATCTTTTGACTCTCACTTGAGGCTTTTGCAGGGTGCGCGTCACCTGCGTCGGTGTCTACTGTTCGCTACTGCGGTTTATTCGTCCAGTTTGTTCGACACGTACCTGTCTCTCCTCATCTTCTTTCCGTACTATTCCGTGACACTTCGAGACGAATTGTTCTGGTAGCAGATTCGTCAACGAAATTGTTGATAGCGGACTCGTCAGATCGTAGACAGAGTTAGTAGATTCAGTAACCATGACCCGATCTATCGCCACAGCGGCAGCGCGGCTCGCGCGGCGCGGCGCGTCCGTTATAAGGAGCTCTCATCAGCAGCATCGTCAACCTTCGTTACAATCACACTTTGCTTCCCATCCGCCTCGATACAATCACACCCCGGCGAGCACCGCGTCTCTGGCGCCGTTGCTCGCTCTGCGGTCGCGATTTTTCTCGGCTGATGCACAGAATGCTTCGAGTGCTGAAATCGAACGTGCTTCTAACGAAAGTGCTGCGGTGAAGACCGCTTTCGCGCAGAAGGCCCCTTCCCCTGAAACCGACGAGCCAATCACGCTGGATGTGAAGGGAGTGGAGATGAAAGGGCGGCCGCTGTACCTCGACATGCAGGTGCGTCTATGGGATTGCGTGTTACGGAGATGCTTGTAACGAGGATGCGTGTAGTGACGAACCGATTATGCTGGATGTGAAGGGAGTGGGAGATGAGGGGACGGTCGCTGTACCTGGATATGCAGGTGTGTATAGCGGGGGAAACCTCAGTTGAATCTGGATTTGTGTTTTAACGAGGTATCACGATGATTTTTCTGGAAGGAGATAGAAACGAGTGGATGGTCGGTGTATCAGGAGGGATGTAACCGCGAATGTTGATTGAGCATGTGTAGCGTAACGAGGTAAAGCATATCGAATTGTTTCTTGGTGAAAGCACAGGCATCTTTTGGGGATGAGTGGAGTGCTTGCGTGCAATTCGTGAGACTTCTCAACAATTACCCATTTATGCTGTTTTTGGGCCAGTGCAGCGTCAGGGCCCGTAATTTCATGCGGGGATAGCTCAGTTGGGAGAGCGTCAGACTGAAGATCTGAAGGTCGCGTGTTCGATCCACGCTCACCGCATTTTCTTGCTTTTGTGCCTCTCCCGCTTTTGTGCCTCTCCCGCTTTTGTGCCTCTCCCGCTTTTGTGCCTCTCCCGCTATTGTGCCTCTCCCGCTATTGTGCCTCTCCCGCTATTGTGCCTCTCCCGCTTTTGTGCCTCTCCCGCTTTTGTGCCTCTCCCGCTTTTGTGCCTCTCCGCTTTTGTGCCTCTCCGCTTTTGTGCCTCTCCCGCTTTTGTGCCTCTCCCGCTTTTGTGCCTCTCCCGCTTTTGTGCCTCTCCCGCTTTTGTGCCTCTCCCGCTTTTGTGCCTCTCCCGCTTTTGTGCCTCTCCCGCTTTTGTGCCTCTCCCGCTTTTGTGCCTCTCCCGCTTTTGTGCCTCTCCCGCTTTTGTGCCTCTCCCGCTTTTGTGCCTCTCCCGCTTTTGTGCCTCTCCCGCTTTTGTGCCTCTCCCGCTTTTGTGCCTCTCCCGCATTTGTGCCTCTCCCGCTTTTGTGCCTCACCCGCTTTTGTGCCTCTCCCGCTTTTGTGCCTCTCCCGCTTTTGTGCCTCTCCCGCTTTTGTGCCTCTCCCGCTTTTGCGTCCCATGGTCCCCTCACATTTCTCCCCCTGTTTGCTCTTGCGTTTCCTCTCCTAGTCTCCTTTCCTCCTTAACTCGATGCAGTTTTCGTGTTGCCTTCCTGCCTCTTCCCCCCCCTCTAAATCCACGAGTTTTAGACGCCACACCTGTGCGGCTGGGAGTGGAAGGGAGCCTCACCTTCCCGCACCACCTGACCTGTCTCTCCCCTTGCTTCTCCCCTGCTTCTCCCCTGCTTCTCCCCTGCTTCTCCCCTGCTTCTCCCCTGCTTCTCCCCTGCTTCTCCCCTGCTTCTCCCCTGCTTCTCCCCTGCTTCTCCCCTGCTTCTCCCCTGCTTCCCCCTTGCTTCCCCCTTGCTTCTCCCCTGCTTCTCCCCTGCTTCCCCCTTGCTTCTCCTCTCTTCTCCCCTCTTCCCCCTCTTAACCCCCTTCCCCCAGGCCACCTCCCCAGTAGACCCAAGGGTCCTAGACGCCATGCTGCCGTTTTTCACGGAGCAGTACGGCAACCCGCACTCGCGCACGCACCTGTACTCTCTTCCCTGCTTCTCTTCTACGCCCCGCTCCCCCAGGCCACCTCCCCGGTAGACCCGAGAGTGTTAGACGCCATGCTGCCGTTCTTCACGGAGCAGTGCGGCAATCCGCACTCGCACACACCTGTCTTTCCCCACCGCCTTTGTTTCTCCCCTGCTTGTCGCCCCCATCTCTACCATCCCAGGCCACCTCCCCCGTGGACCCAAGGGTCTTAGACGCAATGCTGCCGTTCTTTACAGAGCAGTACGGTAACCCGCACTCGCGCACGCACCTGTATGGGTGGGAGAGTGAGGGGGCGGTGGAGGCAGCACGGCAGCAGGTGGCGTCTCTGATCGGTGCCAGCCCCAAGGAGATCATCTTTACTTCTGGGGCGACTGAGTCGAACAACATTGCCATCAAGGGCGTGGCGCATTTCTACAAGTGAGTGGTTATGATGGATGGTGCACGGTGCGTGGGTTGCTTAGGGCATGAGCAGTGGAGGCAGCACGGCAGCAGGTGGCGTCTCTGATCGGCGCCAGCCCCAAGGAGATCATCTTTACTTCGGGAGCCACCTAGTCGAATAATATTGCCATCAAGGGCGTGGCTCACTTCTACAAGTGAGTGGTTGTGATGGGTGGTGCACGGTGGGCTTAGTGTGTGCCTGGTGCAGCAAGTGCAGCAGCAGGTGGCGCCTCTGATGGGCGCCAGTCCCAAGGAGATCATCCTCACTCCGGGGCCCACCGAGTCGAACAACATTGCCATCAAGGGCGTGGCTCACTTCTACAAGTGAGTGGTTGTGATGGGTGCTGCACGGTGGGGCTTAGTGTATGGTGGCGTGTCTTATTGGTACGGTGGTGCCCAGCCCCAAGGAGATCATCTTCACTTCTGGAGCCACCTAGTCGACTTTTAAGTCGAGGTGACTTTTAAGTCAAGGTGACTTTTAAGTCGAGGTGACTTTTAAGTCGAGGTGACTTTTAAGTCAAGGTGACTTTTGAGTCGACTCAAGAGCCACCGAGTCGAACAACATTGCCATCAAGGGCGTGGCTCACTTCTACAAGTGAGTGGCTGTGATGGCTGTGTGGTGAAGTCTGGCTGCATGGGCCGCTTAGGGGAGGCTTGGTGTGGCAGCAGGTGGGGTTGCTGATTGGTGCTAAGAAACAAGCAATGCCACGTCGTCACCACACATACGGAGCAGAAGTGCGCTTTGGACTTGTTTTGCCACGTGTTGCCAATCTCCCTGTGAAAGACCTCCCTTCCCTGTCCCCCAACTCCCCCCCACTCTTCCTCCCCCTCCCCTCACACCCTAACTGTACTTCACCCTCCCAGGGACAAGAAGCGGCATGTGATCACCACTCAAACCGTGCACAAGTGCGTGTTGGACTCCTGCCAGCACCTGCAGCAGGAGGGATTCGACGTGACTTACCTCTCATGCGCTCATCGATCCCTCCTTCCGCCCAAACCCCCCACATCAAACATGCAGGGACAAAAAGCGCCATGTGATTACCTGCAGCAGGAGGGATTCGACGTCACTCACTTTTCATCAATTGCCCCTCACTTATCCCGCTTTCCTTCCTCTCTTCCCCCCGTTGGCACCCCATTCCCCGTTCCGGTTCCCCCATTTTCCTTTCCCCCATACTCTCATCCCTCGTCCTTCACCCCGCCAGGGACAAGAAGCGCCACGTCATCACCACTCAAACCGAGCACAAGTGTGTGTTGGACTCGTGCCGGCACCTGCAGCAGGAGGGATTCGACGTGACTTACCTGCTTTCCGTCCATGCACTCACCTGTCCCTCTGTCGTCCTCCTTGCCCGTTCCCCTTTCCCCTTGTTCCCCTTCCCACGGTTCCCCCCTCCCCCCGTTCCACCTACCCCCACTCCTTCCTCCCCTACTTCAACCATACAGGGACAAGAAGCGTCACGTCATCACCACTCAAACCGAGCACAAGTGTGTGTTGGACTCGTGCCGGCACCTGCAGCAGGAGGGCTTCGACGTGACTTACCTCCCCGTCGGCTCTGACGGTCTCGTCGACCTCGAAACCCTAAAAGCCGCGATCCGCCCGGACACGGTTCTCGTTTCGATCATGACCGTTAACAACGAGATTGGCGTCATCCAGCCGCTCGCCAAAATCGGGCAGCTCTGCCGGGCAAACAAAATCTTCTTCCACACCGACGCTGCGCAGGCAGCGGGGAAAATCCCGCTAAGTGTCGACGAGCTAAACATCGATCTTCTCTCGCTTAGCAGCCATAAGATCTACGGTCCGAAGGGGGTTGGCGCTTTGTATGTGCGCCGCCGACCCAGAGTGAGGCTCGAGCCTCAGATGAGCGGTGGAGGCCAGGAACGGGGTCTCAGGTCCGGTACCGTACCTACCCCGCTGGTGGTTGGGCTAGGTGCAGCATGCGCCGTCGCCGAAGCTGAACTAGAACGCGATTACCGCCACGCAGAGCACTTAAAGGAGAGGCTTTTAAAGGGGATAATGTCGCAGCTGGAAGGGGTGGTGATCAACGGCTCTGATGAACCTGGGAAGCGGTACCCGGGCAATCTGAACCTCTCGTTTGCGTATGTGGAGGGGGAGAGCCTGCTTATGGGGTTAAAGGAGATCGCGGTGTCGAGTGGGAGTGCATGCACGAGCGCGAGTCTCGAGCCCAGCTATGTGCTGCGGGCGCTGGGCGTGGAGGAGGAGATGGCTCATACCTCCATTCGGTTCGGATTCGGGCGATTCACCACTGAAGAAGAGGTGGACAGGTGAGCTACAGCTGAGGATAGAGGATAGGTGAGGAGCCGGACAGGGAAGGAGAGTTATGTGCTGTGGGTGCTGGGTTGGAGGGGTGGAGGGGTGGAGGGGGAGAGACTGCTGATGGGGTTGAAGGAGATTGCGGTGTCGAGTGGCAGTGCGTGCACGAGTGCAAGCCTCGAACCCAACAGAAGAGGAAGTGGACAGGTGAGGTTCAGGGCCGGTGGTGGTGTGGGTAGCAGCAGGTGAGCAGCAGGGGAGATGCAAGATAGGTATGTGGTGGAGGGGGAGAGCTTGTCGTGTGTGCTGACGTGGCAGAGAAATAGGCACACTCGTAGCCTTGGAAAGGAGGAGACAGAGGGTAGGAAAGGGCAGAAGGAGAGAGGGGGAAAAGGGAGGGAAGGCGCAGCGTTTACATTTCAGGGGAAGGGATTCTGGGCCCTGTGGAAGGGATTGGCCTGGAGGGCCCTGTGGAAGGGATTCTGGGCCCTGTGGAAGGGATTCTGGGCCCTGTGGAAGGGATTCTGGGCCCTGTGGAAGGGATTCTGGGCCCTGTGGAAGGGATTCTGGGCCCTGTGGAAGGGATTCTGGGCCCTGTGGAAGGACTCATGCATGCCGGGGAGAAGAACAGCAACGCTTCAAGCATCCAACACTCACTAACCCCAGTCGCCTACAAGTAAAATGCCCACCCCTGCTGATGGGGTTGAAGGAGATCGCTGTGTCGAGCAGCAGTGCGTGCACGAGTGCGAGTTTCGAGGCCAGCTATGTGCTGCGAGCGCTGGGAGTGCTCATACTTCTATTTGGTTCGGCTTCGGGCGATTTACAACTGAAGAGGAGGTGGACAGGTGAGTGAGAGTGGGCTGGTTGTGGTGTGGGTAGCAGCATGGGAGTAGCAGGAGAGCAGCAGGAGGAGTATGTGCTAAAATCTGGGGTTGAAGGAGATTGCGGTGTCGAGTGGGAGTGCAAGTCTCGGGCCGAGCTACGTGCTGCGGGCGCTGGGCGTGGAGGAAATGGCTCATACCTCCATTCGGTTCAAATTTGGAAGATATACGACTGAAGAGGAGGTGGACAGGTGAGAGTGCGGGCTGAGGGTGGTGTGAGCAAGAACAGGGATGTGCCCTGGTTGTGGTGGCAAGATTTAGTTCAAACAGCGGGCTTTTATTTGGCACTGTGCTGACTTTTGAGTCGACTCGTAAGCTGAGTTCAAACAGCAGTCTTCTATTTCACACTAACTGGGGGCTGGGGCTTGGGTGACGATTTGGGCATTGGCATGGGCAGCTGGTCATCGTCATGGACTTGCCTGTATAGTTGGGACTGGTAAGATTTGATATCTGGTACCTCATTCCCAGCCCCCATCTTACCATGATGTTTTTTTCTATCTTTTTTTTTTTCCCTCCCCTGTTTTTTCTCTGTCTCGAATTGTCCTGTTCCGCTTCCTGCGCAGGGCTGTGGCCCTGACAGTGCACCAGGTGCAGAGGCTGAGGGACATGAGTCCGTTGTGGGAGATGGTGCAGGAAGGCATTGACATCAAGACCATTCAATGGTCGCAGCACTGAGCAAATGCTATGTTGGCAACAATGTTAGATTTCTTGAAGAGGCTGGATGATTACACCAGATGTTGCGGATGTTGTTAATACTAAGGTACCGTTACATTGTCTGTACATGAAAAATGAAGATGACATTTTTTTCCTATGATCTTGTTCACCTTCGAGGGACAGACATTTTACAGTCGTTACTTCATGGTCAAGTGTTTTTGGCGATCAGATCAGAACGAGTGTGCTTGCTTGCGATGTGTTGCTGTTGCTTGGCAACTTCTTCGTCGTTGACACGTCCTCGCGAGCCTCGTCATCCGCAGCCACGTGCTCCTACGCTTCTGGCCATGCCAAGCCTCCACGTTTGCTGATATTTCCTGGTTTGCGGACAGTCTGCGAGCCAAGCCTGGGAAGCCCCGGCGGAAGTGGTCCAGGGGCGGTGACACGTTGCGTGCTTGGATTGGGGATTCTTTCCAGAAGCTAGGGAGGGCTGGGCTTGTGTCGGAATCTTGCCTGGCTCGTGTTGTGTGCTTCGGTGCACAATCTCGAGGTCCAGCATCATCATTGAGGGTCTCGAATCCCGTTCTCCCCACACCAAACCGCTCTCCACCGCATTTCTACACATTTCCGTACCTTTTTACGCAACGTCGATGAGTATGGTTCATAGCACTTCAGGTGTTTTTCTGTGCGATTACATACGGTCCTCTGCGGTGGTAGCCTGACTCGTGTCTGAACTGTTCAGCTCATTATACTGGAGATTATTAGGGCGCTTCACCTGTCGGTTCGAACAACACAGTCGTTCGAACAGGCGAAACGTTACTCGTTTCGCCTATAATCGTAGTGGTGATCGTGACGTCGCGAAGCACAATTTCGCCAATTTGAACAGAGCTGTCACCTCAAGCACGATTTTCATCATCCCGCACGTTCGAACACGTTTGTTCGAACAGGTTGGGATAGGTGACACACAATTCCGCAAAAACGACTGATATGATTGGTCCACAGTCTTCCGGGTCGCCCATGAACGTTTGCGAGAAAACACACAAGCGAGGGACCCAATGTTTGGCGACGTCGCTCTTTTGTGGGCGACGTCGCTGTGTTCGAACAGACCGCGTGTGCGAATAGCGATGGCGTCACCTGTGATGGCCTGTGTCACATTCGCTCATTGTACGTATTTGTGTTCGAACTCATTTGGGATACTGTTCGTACAGTCAAACTGATACGTCGGTTCGGATTTTGGCCTTCCGCCCCTCAGGTGAAGCGCCCTTATCACCCTAGAACTTGTCTCTCGAGACGACTTTTTCTAGGTTCCTCAGCTCAGGTTAGCTGGGGAGAGGCTGAGAGCTCAGCTTTCATTTCGCCGTGCTTCACGGCACCTAATCTGCTTCGGGGTAGTTCCTAGGCTCCTGTCCCGTTGCCTCTTCACCTATCGTTTGCGTCATCCCCCACTCAACCAACCCATTCGATTACCTACATTGCAGTTTCGTGGCAGTTTCACGCAACCAACCCGTCCACCCTTCGACCAGCACCGCCTCCCGCTCAATCATTCAATCATTCCCTCGCTCATCTCCACGCATTTTCCTTCCAAACCGCGCGACTACAACGGATCTCGGACCGCCTAGTCATTACCCCTTAGCTGGCGACATTCCAAGGGTGATTCATTTGGCGGTGGATTTTAGGGTTGTTAGTGCTCGCACAGGATGTGGAAGGCAGCAGCGAGTCGTCTGATTCCCGCCGCTCTTCGCGCGCAGCGGGGAGCGTCGTCGCACGCTAATGGCATTCGCAGCGCGCCGTTTATCGGGCGAATGATGTCCTCGCAGGTGCGTGCGACCGACGTCTCTAGACTAATCCTCTCAGCGCTTTCCGAGTCGACGTCGCAGGCTCATATAGATGCAATAGGCAACGATCTAACCTTCCGCCTGCATTTCTGTCCGTTTTTTGCATTTTCCCGGACGCTAGTTCTGGGCGTCCGATCTTAAGTTATATTCGCATAGAAAGGTCTTCCGACTATTGAGTTCACTCAAGACGTTCTTCTTATAACTAGGTCTCCAAGAGTTTGTCTTCAGCTTTATTCCAACTAAACTACAGACGTCCATCGAAAAACTAGGTTCCCAGGCGTCCTTTTAAAAGGCAAATATCCAAACGTCCGTCTCAGAATGAGGGCGTCGTTGTGGAGACGTTCTAATGCTGGATCCCGTTGGTTTGAAACGGAAATGAAATTGCTATATGTATCCGATTTAATTAACTCGAGAAATTACACCATAATGACTTGATTCAGAGATCGGATCTGATCGCATCGGGTTTGATGTGCTCACGTAATCCTACCTTGTGTCGCATCTCAGCACTCTTGCGTCGTCTTCCGGATTCGATCACATGCACGGTGCGGGGGTGGTGGGAGCTGGCGTTGCTGGTGTTATCCCGCACGTTGCTGGTGCCCCGCATCCCTCTGCGTCTACCCGCATCCCTCTGCGTCTCCCCGCATCCCTCTGCGTCTCCCCGCGTCCCTCTGGCTCATCCCGCATCGCTCGGCCCATCCCGCGTCCCTGTGTACCACCGTACATCGCTATCTCGTCCCTTCCAAGCGTACCCAGTGATCGACCACACGTACGACGCGGTGGTGGTGGGGCCGGGCGGGGCGGGGCTGCTGTCACCCCGCACCCCTCTCTAACACCCCGCATCCCTCTGTACCACTCTGTCATCACGTCCTTCAGGCGTACCCAGTGATCGACCACACGTACGACGCTGTGGTGGTGGGGGCGGGAGGGGCGGGGCTGCGGGCGGCGATCGGGCTGTCGGAAAGCGGATTCAACACGGCCTGCATCACCAAGCTCTTTCCCACGCGCTCGCACACTGTCGCCGCGCAGGTGGGTCGCACACAATCGCCAGGGTCGCAACAGGGTCGCACACAGTCGCCAAGGTCGCTCACAGTCGCCAGGGTCGCACACAGTCGTCAGGATCTCTGTGGCTTTAACACGGCCTGCATCACCAAGCTCTTCCCCATGCTCTCGCACACTGTCATCAATGCCTCAACACATCTCTCTCATTATTCACCCCTCCGGGCCCAACCTCACCTCACCCCTCCCCACCCCCTGGCGCCGCTTATTCTGTATCAGTGCGGCATCATCACAGCTCTCTTACTAGTCTTGCCCCCCGTTCCCACTTTCTTCCTGCCCCAACCCCCGTGTTTCCCCTCCCCCGGTCCCCCCACGCCCCCTCATTCCGTGCGTGCACCAGGGCGGCATCAACGCGGCGCTGGGCAACATGACTGAGGACGACTGGCGCTGGCACATGTACGACACCGTCAAGGGCAGCGACTGGCTGGGTGAGTGGTGGAGTGCAGTGCGGTGGAAGGCGATGAATGAGTGTTGTGAATGGTGCTGTGCAATGGGGATGTTTTTCCTTTTTTTTGGGGGGGTCGTGGGAGCATCCAGTACATGTGCGAGCAGGCGCCCAAGGCGGTGATAGAGCTGGAGCACTACGGGCTTCCCTTCTCCTCTCCACGTCTATTCTTCTATGCTGTAACTCACACTTGTCCCCCCATGTGCAGGCGACCAGGACGCGATTCAGTACATGTGCGAAGCAGGCCCCCAAGGCAGTGATCGAGCTGGAGCACAACGGGCCGTCCTTCTCCTCTCCACCTCTCCGCCCATGTGTTGCCTTCTACCCTCCCCTACCCCCTCCCTTCCCGTTTCCACCCCTCCAGGCGACCAGGACGCGATTCAGTACATGTGTGAGCAGGCGCCCAAGGCGGTAATCGAATTGGAGCATTACGGGCTGCCCTTCTCTCGCACTGATGACGGCCGCATCTACCAGCGCGCTTTCGGAGGGCAGAGCCTCGACTTTGGCAAGGGCGGGCAGGCGTACAGGTGGGTGGGGAGCGGTGGGCAGGGGTACATGTGGGTGGGAAGAGGCGGGCAGGCGTACTGGTGGGTGGGGAGAGGTGGGCAGGGGTAGAGTTGGGTGGGGAGGGGTGGGCAGGCGTACAGGCAGATGGGGAGGGGGCAGTCGTATGAGGGGATGGGGAGGGGCGGGCAGGCGTACAGGTGGATGGGGAGAGGTGGGAGAGATTGCATGGGTGGCATGGGTAGCACGGGGCATGCACTGCTGCACACACTGTACGGGCAGGCCATGAATCACAGTGCTCTGAACAACGGCGCTCATTCAACTCCCCCTTCTCTCGCCCTGTGCCCGTTCCCTGTGCTCGTCTCTCTTCTTGTCTGCCTCCCTACCGTTATCCAGGTGTGCATGTGCGGCCGATCGCACGGGGCATGCACTGCTGCACACACTGTACGGGCAGGCGATGAAGCACAACACGCAGTTCTTTGTGGAGTACTTTGCTCTCGACCTGATCATGGACAAGGAGGGTGAGTGGAGTTCTCAGATGTTCAATCTGGAAAGTAACGAGTGTGAAGGGCTCGCCATGGTTGAGATGTTTAGTGTTGGGACGTAGAGTGTTGAGACGTCTCATGAGTCAGGCAGGCAGGCCATGAAGCACAACACTCAGTTTTTCGTGGAGTACTTTGCTCTCGACCTGATCATGGACAAGGAGGGTGATTTGGGCTTTGAGACATGGGGAGTTGAGTGTAGAGGAGGCATCTCAAGAGCCAGGCGGGCAGGCCATGAAGCACAACACTCAGTTCTTCGTGGAGTTTTTTTGCCCTTGATCTGATCATGGACCAGGAGGGTGAGTGGAGAGAGGGAGAGTGAGCTGTCGAAAAGGCTGGGGAGGGGAGTCAAGCGATGAAGCACAGTACGCAATTCTTTGTGCGGCACTTAGCGCTTGATCTGACCATGGACCAGGAGGGTGAGTCGGGGTCTGGGACAATGAGTGTTGAGAGGTGTCGGAATCATAGCACATGCAAGTGGGGCACATGTGAGTGAAGCACAGCACGCAGTTCTTTGTGCGGTTCTTAGAGCTTGATCTGAACATGGACCAGGAGGGCGAGTTGGACAGGCCATGAAGCACAGCGCATTGATAAGCACGCTGCTTGCACGCGTATGCATGAATTGGACTAGGCGTGTATCGTGAATGTAGCTGTATCGTGAATGTAGCTGTATCGTGAATGTAGCTGTATCGTGAATGTGGCTGTATCGTGAATGTGGCTGTATCGTGAATGTGGCTGTATTGTGAATGTGACTGTATCGTGAATGTGGCTGTATCGTGAATGTGGCTGTATCGTGAATGTGACTGTATCGTGCATGTGGCTGTATCATGTATGTGTCTGTATCTCAAATGCGGCGACTCTATCATGCGCATTATTGTACCAGGAGCCTGTCGAGGAGTGATCGCACTGAACATGGAGGATGGCACGCTGCACCGCTTCCGATCCAACTCCACCATTCTGGCCACCGGGGTGAGTAAAGCCCTGCCGCTCTGTCGCCCTGTTGTAAGCATGGGCCATCCGTTCCCCCCTTCTTCTCCCTCCTCTTGCTTTCAACATGGAGGATGGCACGCTGCACCGCTTCTGATCCAACTCCACCATTCTCGCCACCGGGGTGGGCATTTTACTTGTAGGCGACTGGGGTTAGTGAGTGTTGGATGCTTGAAGCGTTGCTGTTCTTCTCCCCGGCATGCATGAGTCCTTCCACAGGGCCCAGAATCCCTTCCACAGGGCCCAGAATCCCTTCCACAGGGCCCAGAATCCCTTCCACAGGGCCCAGAATCCCTTCACCTGAAATGTAAACGCTGCGCCTTCCCTCCCTTTTCCCCCTCTCTCTTTCTGCCCTTTCCTACCCTCTGTCTCCTCCTTTCCAGGGCTACGGGTGTGCCTATTTCTCTGCCACGTCAGCGCACACGTGCACGGGCGACGGCAACACCATGGTGGCGCGTGCAGGGCTGTATGCGCTCTCTCTCCTCTCTCTAACCCACCTTGCTATGGTGTGAACACAGGGACTTACTCACTCACTCACTCACGTTGTCCCTCCCCAATTCCCCCCCTCTCCCCTCTCCCCTCCCCTCCGTCTCCCCTTTCTCTCCCCTCACCTCCGTCTCCCCTTTCTCTCCCCTCCCCTCCGTCTCCCCTTTCTCTCCCCTCCTCCTCCGTCTCCCCTTTCTCTCCCCTCCCCTCCGTCTCCCCTTTCTCTCCCCTCCTCCTCCGTCTCCCCTTTCTCTCCCCTCCCCTCCGTCTCCCCTTTCTCTCCCCTCCCCTCCGTCTCCCCTTTCTCTCCCCTCCCCTCCGTCTCCCCTTTCTCTCCCCTCCCCTCCGTCTCCCCTTTCTCTCCCCTCCCCTCCGTCTCCCCTTTCTCTCCCCTCCCCTCTGTCTCCCCTTTCTCTCCCCTCCCCTCCGTCTCCCCTTTCTCTCCCCTGCCCTCCATCTCCCCTTTCTCTCCCCTCCTCCTCCGTCTTCCCTTTCTCTCCCCTTCAGGGCTACGGGCGCGCCTATTTCTCTGCCACGTCAGCGCACACGTGCACGGGCGACGGTAATGCCATGGTGGCGCGTGCGGGGCTGCCTCTGCAGGACCTGGAGTTCGTTCAGTTCCACCCGACTGGCATTTATGGGGCTGGTTGCCTGATCACTGAAGGTACTATTGCCTGATCACTGAAGGTACTATTGCCTAATCACTGAAGGTACTATTGCCTAATCACTGAAGGTACTATTGCCTAATCACTGAAGGCACTATTGCCTAATCACTGAAGGTACTATTGCCTAATCACTGAAGGTACTATTGCCTAATCACTGAAGGTACTATTGCCTAATCACTGAAGGTACTATTGCCTAATCACTGAAGGTACTATTGCCTAATCACTGAAGGTACTATTGCCTAATCACTGAAGGTACTATTGCCTAATCACTGAAGGTACTATTGCCTAATCACTGAAGGTACTATTGCCTAATCACTGAAGGTACTATTGCCTAATCACTGAAGGTACTATTGCCTAATCACTGAAGGTGCATTCCCCTTATCACTCTAGGTGTGCCACAAGGGTGGTTGCACGGCCCCTGCAGGACCTGGAGTCCGTTCAGTTCCACCCCACCAAATTTATGGCGCTGGATGCCTTATCACCAAAGTTACAGTTAGCTTTCCACAAAAGGTATGAATGGGTTATCACTTCAGGTGTAAGTGCCGTATCTGGCGGTGTGCACCTGCCAGAAGGGTTAGAGATGAGAGCTGGGCTGCTTTTGCAGGACTTGGAGTCCAGACTTTTGAGTCTGGGCAGTTCCACCCCACTGGGATTCACGTTTCCTCCCTTCCCAATCCCCAGGGTCGTGCGGGAAAGGAGGAATTCTGCGGAACAGCAAGGGCGAGCGGTTCATGGAGTGAACCGACAGAAAGTTCGAGCGGTTTACAGAGTGGTTTATGGAGCGATGCGCACCCACAGCCAAGGACCTGGCGTCCCACGACGTGGTTTCCAGCAGCATGACCATGGAGATCCGCGAGGGGCGCGGGTGCGGCCCTTTGAAGGACCACACCTACCTGCATCTGGACCATCTGCCCCTTTCCCCTTGGGACCGCCGCCCACTCCCCTCCGTTCCCTGATTGTAGTCTCTTCCCCTGCGCCCCTGTTTCCCTGCTGCCTGTTCTGCCCGTTTCCTCTCCTTAGGATCACGTGGAGAGGGAGGAATTCTGCGCAACAGCGAGGGAGAGAGGTTCATGGAGCGATACGCGCCCACAGCCAAGGACTTAGCCTCCCGGGACGTGGTGTCCCGCAGCATGACCATGGAGATCCGCGAGGGGCGCGGGTGCGGCCCCCTGAAGGACCACATCTACCTGCATCTGGACCATCTGCCCCCTGAAGTGCTCAAGGAGCGTCTGCCTGGCATCAGCGAGACGGCCGCGATTTTCGCGGGCGTGGATGTGACGAAAGAGCCGATCCCTGTGCTGCCGACCGTGCATTACAACATGGGCGGTATCCCCACCAACTACCATGGGGAGGTGAGCCGGAGTGAGAGGGAGAGGGGGAGTAGAGAGAAGGGGAGCAGAGAGACAGGGAGCAGAGAGAGAGAGGGAGCAGAGAGACAGGGAGCAGAGAGAGAGAGGGAGCTGAGAGAGAGAGGGAGCAGAGAGAGAGAGGGAGCAGAGAGAGAGGGGGAGCAGAGAGAGAGGGGGAGCAGAGAGAGAGGGGGAGCAGAGAGACAGAGAGTGGGTGAGGCAGAGGGTGTGGGCCGCTCAAGGACCACATCTACCTGCATCTGGACCATCTGCCCCCTGAAGTGCTCAAGGAGCGTCTGCCTGGCATCAGCGAGACTGCCGCGATCTTTGCGGGCGTGGACGTGACGAAAGAGCCGATTCCCGTGCTGCCCACGGTGCATTACAACATGGGCGGCATCCCCACCAACTACCATGGGGAGGTGAGAGATAAGCAGGAGAGGTGAGAGAAGGAAAGAGAGCTCATACACAGCTGGGTTCAGCGAGACTGCCGCGATTTTTGCGGGCGTTGATGTGACCAAGGGGGCGATTCCCGTGCTGCCCACTGTGCATTACAGCATGGGGGGTATCCCCACCAACTACCTTGGCGAGGTGAGAGATAAGCAGGAGAGGTGAGAGAAGGAAAGAGAGCTCATACACAGCTGGGATTAGCGAGACTGCGGCGATCTTCGCGGGCGTCGATGTGACCAAGGGGCCGATTCCCGTACTGCCCACGGTGCATTACAGCATGGGCGGTATCCCCACCAACTACCATGGCGAGGTGAGAGATAAGCATGAGAGGTGAGAGAAGGCGAGAGAGCACATACACAGCTGGGATCAGCGAGACTGCGGCGATTTTTGCTGGCGTTGATGTGACCAAGGAGCCGATTCCCGTGCTGCCCACCGTGCATTACAACATGGGTGGAATTTCCACCAACTACCATGGCGAGATGAGAGATAAGCAGGAGAGGTGAGAGAAGGAGAGAGAGCACATACACAGCTGGGATCAGCGAGTTGCTGCGATTTTCGCGGGCGTTGATGTGACCAAGGAGCCGATTCCCGTGCTGCCCACGGTGCATTACAACATGGGCGGTATCCCCACCAACTACCATGGGGAGGTGAGAGAGTGTGAGAGAGGGTCGGATCAGCGAGACGGCCGCGATTTTCGCAGGTGTTGATGTGACCAAGGAGCCGATTCCCGTGCTGCCGACGAATTATCATGGCGAGGTGAGCCCGAGTGAGAAGGCGAAAGAGAGAGGGAGAGAGGGAGCAGGGAGAGGTGAGATCAAGGACCTTTTTAGCGGGCGTGGATGTGACCAAGAAGCCGGTCCCAGTGCTGCCCACCGTGCACATAAACATGGGCACCAACAATTGAAGAAGTGTTTTGAGACGTCTCAAAACAGTGCTGCCCACGGTGCACAAAAACATGGGCACCAACAATTGAAGAAGTGTTTTGAGACGTCTCAAAACAGTTCTGCCCACGGTGCACAAAAACATGGGCACCAACAATTGAAGAAGTGTTTTGAGACGTCTCAAAACAGTGCTGCCCACGGTGCACAAAAACATGGGCACCAACAATTGAAGAAGTGTTTTGAGACGTCTCAAAACAGCGCTGCCCACCGTGCACAAAAACATGGGCACCAACAGCGTCTCATCCTCTCCCTCCCTCTGCGCCTCTCATCCCCCTGATTTCTTCCCTATATTCCTGTGCTTGTATCAGGTGGTGGCACCCAAGCCAGATAACCCCGATGCAGTTGTGCCAGGGCTTATGGCAGCAGGCGAGGCAGCGTGATTCTCAAGCTCTTCCCTTTCTCCTCTTACCCTGTTTCCTCTCCCTCATATGCTGCTGCCAGGTCGTGGCACCCAAGCCAGATAACCCTGATGCGGTTGTGCCAGGGCTCATGGCAGCAGGCGAGGCAGCGTGTGCGTCGGTGCACGGGGCGAACCGTCTGGGCGCCAACAGCCTGCTGGACATTGTGGTGTTCGGCCGCGCGTGCGCTAACAGGGTGGCGGAGATTCATAAGCCAGGTCAGTCTCCATGTCCCTGCATGTGTGTGTGTGTGTGTGTGTGTGTGTGTGTGTGTGTGTGTGTGTGTGTGTGTGTGTGTGTCTCTGTGTGTGTGTGTCTGTGTCTGTGTCTGTGTGTGTGTGTGTGTGTGTCTCTGTGTGTGTGTCTCTGTGTCTGTGTCTGTGTGTGTGTCTCTGTGTGTGTGTGTCTGTGTCTGTGTCTGTGTGTGTGTGTGTGTGTGTGTGTGTGTCTGTGAGTGCCCCTGTCTCCCGGTGCACGGGGCTAACCGTTTGGGTGCCAACGGCCTGCTGGACATTGTGGGGTTCAGTGGGGCATGTGCGAACCGCGTGGCTGAGATTCACAGGCCAGGTGGAAGTGACTGTGTGCTATCTTTGCCTGTGATTACTTGCGATACGCCAAGGGCGAGCTCAGACCCCCACATCTTTTTCCTCCCTTCCTCCCTGTGATGCCCTCTCTCCCATACAGGAGGGCCACAGCCCCCCCCGCCGGCAGATGCGGGGCAGAAGACGATCAAGTGGATGGACAGGCTGCCATACGCCAAGGGGGAACTCAGCACATCTTGTATTTCCCCGTCCCCGTCTGATGTCATATCTCCTGTGCAGGAGCTCCGCAGCCGCCTTTGCCTGCGGATGCAGGGCAGAAGACGATTGAGTGGATGGACAGGCTGCGATACGCTAAGGGCGAGCTCAGCACCACCATGGTCTTATGCTCCTCTGTTACCCGCCTCCCTGCTGTGTCTCTCCCTTCCCTGACTGCTTCTTACCCTGCTTGCAGGAGCGCCCCAGCCCCCCCTGCCAGCGGATGCGGGGCAGAAGACGATTGAGTGGATGGACAGGCTGCGATACGCCAAGGGCGAGCTCAGCACGGCCAAGATCCGAGGCAACATGCAGCGCGTCATGCAGAACAACGCTGCTGTGTTCCGCACCCAGGAGACTCTGGCGGAAGGTAAGACACTGGGGTAGGTGGGACTGGAAAAACCGTGGGCTAGGGGGGGTTAAGGTTTTGGCAGCCCACACAGTGAGCTCAGCACGGCCAAGATCCGAGGCAACATGCAGCGGGTCATGCAGAACAACGCTGCTGTGTTCCGCACCCAGGAGACCCTGGCGGAAGGTGAGAGACTGGGGGGGTTGAGGGAGGTGAGGGGATTTGGAGGAAGGTGAGGAGAATTATTCATTCCCCAGTATCCACTTGCCATTCCCTCCCCCCCTCTTTCTACCTTGCTCACGCCCTTGCCCATACAGGGTGTGAGTTGATCGATGAGACGTGGAAGTCGTTTGAGCAGGTGGGAGTGACGGACCGCAGTCTCGTGTGGAACACAGATCTGGTGGAAACAATGGAGCTGGAGAATCACTCTCTCGCCCCTTGCCACTTGCCGTTTCGTCCCCTCTTTCTCATTCCCATGCGCTGACAGGCTGCGACCTGATCGATGAGACGTGGAAATCCTTTGAGCAAGTGGGCGTGACGGATCGCAGCCTGGTGTGGAACACAGACCTGGTGGAAACAATGGAGCTGGAGAATCTGCTCACCAACGCGCTCATCACCATGCACTCTGCTGAGGCGAGGAAGGAGAGCAGAGGAGCTCACGCCCGTGAAGACTTCCCGGTGAGTGGCTGTTGATTTCCCAAGAAGCATGCCAGGGGGAATTTCCCGGTGAGTGCATGACACCTTTCTTTGGTGGTGAGTGCACGCACATCATCCTCTCTCTGCTCACCAACGCGCTCATCACCATGCACCCTGTGCCTGTTCTCCCCTTCCTTTGGCCTGCCGTGTTCTGCCTTGCAGAACCGTGATGACACCAACTGGATGAAGCACACTGTCGGGTACAGCCACACTCACTTACACTCTTTCTCATGCACCCCATGCCTTCTTTCCCCCTCCCTTGGCTTTTCCTGGCCTGCCCCGCTTTGCCTTGCAGAACCGTGATGATACCAACTGGATGAAGCACACTGTCGGGTATAGTCACACTCCTTTGCATCGCCCCTTCTCCCTTCCTTTTTGGCCCTTAGCTACTTCCATCCTGCTTATAAACCACTTGTAAACTGTACTGTTGTTGGTCGATTTGCTTGCTGTTGCCCCTGTCACGCCTCGTATCCCCCTACTGTTACTAATCTATTGTCCTTATCTCTTAGATTTCACCTTATTGTTGCTCACCTCCTTGGTTATCGTCCTCTTGCATGTGTTCAGGTATTGGGATAACGGCAAGGTGAAGCTTGATTATCGTCCCGTCCACATGAACACACTGGACGATCAAGTGCAAACCTTCCCACCCAAGGCTCGGGTGTACTAGATCAACTATTTGGCGGTCGAGGAACTTCATCTATGGACATGCCATCATGAAGTAGCCTTGTTGTGACTCTGATATTATGTTCCCTACTGCCAATTTGTGCTATACAGCTTTCTTGGAGCTGGGAATCCAGTCAAATGTTCCAACCATCTACCCCATTACGGTACATTGCATAAAACTGTGGTACGGATATACTTGTATTTGCTACACCTCGTAACCACTCCATTAAATCTGCAAATCTGCAGGGGCTCGCCCGAACCGCGACGATGACCCCGCCCTCTCGATCATCTTCCATCCCATCCTCACCGTCCAAATCCCGACTCCGTGGTTCTGGAGGTTCTGGAACTGCCGCCCCTCGGGGCTACTCGCCTCGCCTCGCCACGAACTACTGAGTCATGACGCTATCAATATCGACCGTTCGATCCTTGAAATAGAAGCCTCCCACTCGCTTGCTGACCGTCGGAATTGGCCCCTCTTTACAAATCAGCCTTCCCCGCACGCGGCTCCGTCGTTCCCACCTCCCTCCTCCGCATTCGGCGAAATTCGCTGGACCTGATTTCGAGCATGCAGCCGCCATCGATTGCAATGCAGTCCAGACTTCTTCTGGCAGTTTTCTTTGTGCGTTGATGTCACGCTGAAATCCCGCGGATTCAACAAAGTTTGGAATCTCGTGCATCCCTTTGGACGCGAGTAGGTGTCGTTTCAAGAGACGGATCGTCTAAGCGTGAGTGCGACTCAGTTCTTTAGCCGGTGTAGCTGAAGTTCTTCGGGTTCAAGAAGTGCACAAGGCGCTAGCGTTGTGGCGCGCTGTAGATTAGAGACATTTACCGAGCGTAGCTGAGCTGAAGCCCTTCAGTGCCCTTCAGTTTGAACAAGTGCGAAACGCGCAACTTTGGGATTCCAAACGCTGCTGCAACATTTTCGAGTCGACTCAAAGGTCACTCCAGCCCCTTAGCTAACGTGGCCGCAGTTTCAAGTGGGTCGAATCGCCGAACTGTGAAATCCTCAAATCTGCTGCACCTGACGCATTTAAGTGGTAGACGATGCCGCCCAGCGCGTCTAAACATTCGGTATCAGCCGACGAAGCAGCGGATGACGAAATGCCTTCGAGTGACAGCGAAACATTTCGAAAGCTTCCAGCGGAATCAGAAGTATCAAAAGAATCAGCGGATTTAGCACGGCCACAAGAATCAGCGGAATTAGCGCTACTCTGCAACGTGAATCCCGCGGGAAGGTCGCACAACGGCGCAGCTATGAGATCATGCGGCGAAGAACTTTACCGGCCTCGCGAATGTTACAACGCTCCACGACTTTCGCGAAGGTCGTGTCTCTTTCGCATGCCGGCCCTCCACCTTTGGTGTTTCGCGAATACGGCTGAACCGGGCCTTCCCACTCAGTCCTCCTCCTCTGAACCCGAAAAAGTCCCGGAAGCTTCGCATATGCTGCTCACACCGCAGATTATGACGTGGCATTGGCGCGCTTCCGCGCAATCACTAGCCAGCGACCCAAAGAAAAACCCAAAGCAAAACTTCGGTGATCTTTTCCAGCTGCTGCTGCTGCTGCTCCTCCTGGCGGTGCTTCTGGCGGCTGTTGCGTTTCGGGTGAGCCAGCCTCAGGGTGCTATTCTCGCTATTGGCGGGTTCGGTAAGCCGCATGGAGTAGCTGTGTGGCTGCAAGCGACTGACGATGTTCGTATGGGGTATACGAGTACTGTTAGTAGTGATGCGGTTAACAGTAACCAGAGAGATGAAGACGGCTTAGCGTCACTGGCTGACCCTTTGCTGCCGCCCTCCGCCACTCCCCTTCCCGCTCCCGCGACCTCCGCCACTCCTCTTCCCCGTCCCCCGACCTTAGCCACTCCCCTTCCCCCCCTTCCTCCTCCGCTCATCCCCGGCTCCCGCGTGCGCTCGCCCGTGCACCTGGCGCAGCTGCGGCGCCGTTGGCGCTGCTTGAGCACGCGCGGGAAGTGGGTGCTTCCGCCCGTCCCGCGCCTGCTGCCGTGGTCGCGGAAGCAGAGCCACCGGAGCGAGTGGGAGTGTGACGACCGTTGGATCCACACGCCCGGCCACGTGGCGTTCCGGGACGCGGATGTGATTGCAGCGAAGGCGATTGCAGCAAAACGTGGGGTGATTGCGCGGATTGGGGAAGGGGGAAGGGAAAGAGGGGGAGATAGTGCAGGCATAGCGGACGCGGAGGCGGAGGTGGAAGGAAGGGCTAGGGGAATGGTTGAAGATAGAGGCAAGGGGAAAGGGAGGGGAAAGCGGCGACTAAAATCCGCAAGGTTAGCAGCAGATGCAGCAGCAGGGGCATCAGCAGAGGGAGCAGGAGGGGCAGCAGCAGAGGCTGCGGCAGAAAGAGCAGGAGGGACAGCAGTAGGAGTGAACGGAACAGTAGGGGGGCTTGAGAGTCAGTGGAATGTTCGTCCAGCTGCTAAGTATCAGTGGAAGGTGGAGAGCGGTGAGTGCGGAGAGTGGAGGGATGTGGACGGGTTGAGACTTGCTGAGAAGCTGGCGGGGACCAAGGTGCTTATAGTGGGGGATTCGATCAACCACATCTTGTATTCTGCCCTGCGCAATCAGTTTCGCATGGTAACCACTATAGCAGAGCTGGGTCTGCTGAGTGATTCAGCACTTAAGACGTCTTCAGTAGAAACAGAAACATCTCCATCTTTTTCAGCAGGAGGAGCAGGAGCAGGAGCAGGAGCAGCAACAGCAGGCGCAGCAGTGGCAGCAGGAGAAGAAGCAGCAGCCACAGCAGTGGCAGCCACTGCAGCAGGAGAAGAAGCAGCAGCCACAGCAGTGGCAGCCACTGCAGCAGCAGCAAGAGAATCACAAGTATCGGAAATATCGGAACAACCATCATTATCAGCAGGGGCGGCAGCTGTACCTCAATCTTCAGATTCACTATCATCAGCACCTCTGCCACCGTTAGGAGCACCCCCAGTATTGACAGAAGTGACTGGCGTCGTCCCCCCTTCTTGTCACATCCGCACAGGAGACTTTCCAGAGCTGCACAAGCCCCGGTTTCCCCGAGCCTGCGAGGGGTTTGTGTTCCGAGCCTCGTCCTCCTCCACCACCGCAGCCTCAGTTGAAGGTCCGATCAACACCTTGACTGGAAGTCCCACAAACACCTTGATCGAAACCCCAACCAATGGCTCGGTCAATGGGCTATTCAACACCACCTCGATCAACGGTTCTCTCAACGTCCCAGTCAGTGGCTCGGTCAGCGGTCTTCTCAATACCTCAGTCAGTGGGGCAGTAAAAGAGGCGGTCAACCACTCGGTCAACGTCTCAGTGCTCTTCATACGAAATGATGGGCTGCACACAAACTTGGAACCAGCAGTCAACCGCACTTCTAAATCGGCCTACATCCCCTGGCTGGACTTGCTTCAGGAAACCACTGACCCTATCGCTGCTGCCACAGCACCAGCCGCAGAAGCAGCAGCAGCAGCAGCAGCAGCAACAGCACATGTGGAACTTCAGGATGAATCTGTACCGTTGAATTCCTCTACAGCCTTGGGATCTCCAGAAACACAAGAAGCCCAAAATTTAACGAGCTTTTCTAACGGGGTGGGATTGACTCTTGAGGAGCAACTCTTGATAGATTCGCCAGTATCGGTTCTGGTTCTCAACCGGGGTGCACATTTTGTGGAGACTTCGCGTTTCGTATGGGAGCTCAATCAGACGCTTGCTACAGTGCGAGCAGCTGCACCGGGTTTGCTTATAATCTACAGAAGCACACCTCCAGGCCATGATATGTGTAACTTGTACGTGGAACCACTGAAGGTGCCACAGAAGAATGGTGCATTGCCATTTTCCTGGGGAGAGTTCGCAAAGCAGAATGAGGAGGCAAGAAGGGTTGTTGAAGGCATTGGTGGTGTCTTTTTGGATGTTGATGGCATGACAGCACTTCGGGCTGATGGGCATTTTACTCCGAAGGATTGCTTGCATTACTGCTTGCCAGGACCACCTGATGAATGGGTGATGTTGCTTTACAATGTGCTGCTTGATTTGCTGTAAAAATGTCTGTGTGATCACTTGTGGTAATGTACCAAAGCAATACCAGTATATTGTTTTGTAGGTGTGAGCAAGTTGATTGCTTGTACTGTATGGATTGATGGCAGATGTTGTGTTATGAGTTGTGAAAGGAAGAGTGCGCAGAACTCAATAATGCGGAAGTGATTACAATGTCTGAGAACACAACGAGGCCTAGGACTAATATAGCAAAGCTAGCTTGGCCGAGGTCGCGGGGTCGCGAGATGGTTGGGTGCACGTTCGGGGTTGGAAAACCCGAAGGCGACGCGGTGGTGGCTCGGAAGGCGAGGTCGGCGGACCGAGCCTGGTTTTCCGAAAACCGGGGTTGTACGCGTACAGTGGGACCCAGTAAGGAATCCGGAAAATTCCTTACACTACCCCCACCCTTAAAGCCAGCAGCTAAAATAGTTGTTGGAAACAATCGGTCCTAAGCGCCTCTGTCGTGCCGAAACTCTAAGGCACAAGCGAAGCAAAGCATATCGAGGCACCAGCGAGTCAACCCTCGGAGGTTGAAGTAACCGCTGGAGGTTACGCGAAAGTCAAATTCCTTGCTGTTGCGTCACTCGAGCAGTTGCCCGAGTCGTCACTTTCATATTCCTTGTACTCTTATATAGTCTTGTATCTCTTTGTTTTAATCAACTTACTTTGCCCTCACATACTAGCGCAAGGTGGTTCACAACTCTTTATTAACGCTTCCGCTACTACACCAACCCTACCCAGAGTTCACCCCTGCAAAGATCCTAAGGGCCTTTTCAGCCCAACATGGTATGAGAGCAATCAGGGGGAATTCAACTTCTATACCGTCAACATCAATCAGCATGGCTAGACAAAAGGTAAGGAGCAACTCCAACGGCTCTCAGGGAACTACTCCTACTCCACCTCCTGCCTCTGGCCTACAGACAGAGGAGGGCACGGCAACAAGACCCAGAGCAACATCTACTGAGACTCCCGCGAATCAACCTGCAGACTTCGACCAGAGCATGATGGAGAAGTTTTTCTCCTTCATGTCCTTCTACGAGCAACACCAGCAATCGGCACCTGCGCAGTCACACCACAGCAGCAACAACGGAGCAACACCCATGAGTCTCGACGGCTCATCATATGCACGAGGAAATCAGCAACAGCAGCCTACCTTTGCTCCGTACGAGCGCGGGTCCATCAGCTTCATGCCACACCCACAGCCCTTACCTGGACAAGAAAAACCACTGGACGCATTACAAGTTCAGTCGCAGTTCGCACACGTTCTGAAGATGCAGACGTCAAGACCTTTTGATGGAAAGGACTTCTTTACCTGGTCGTTCGAGTTTGAGCTGATGATGGAAGGCGCGCAGATACTCGGGTTCTTCGACGGGTCTCTGCCATACCCAATAAACGGCACACATTACGAGAAGCAGCAATACACCTATCAGTCAATGATGGCGTACACGATCCTACTGAGGAACATCACCCCGACTCAACAGCAGAACATAAGGACTTACCGAGGTTACGGCAACTCCGCGGAGCTCGCCTACAACCACCTGAAGAGCATGTATCAAGCAGCAGACAGCGTATTGTCAAATTATAATATTGTGTAGGCTATAGTGGGGTAGCCTATATGGGGTACACATTTCTAGGGTTGCATATTTGTATCACTTCCATTCCTTAGTCATTTCATTCTCGTTCTACTTTCCTCATGGTATCGAGCAGGTTCCCCTGTGGGAACTGTGCCTAGGGCCCACCACATCGATCTTTTTTTTCTCCTGCCCGAAGCGCGCTCAGCCCGAGTCGCGCTCCGGGCCCTCACACCTCTTCGAGCCGCCCTTCTCAGCGGCCCCGCCGCCCTTCTCAACGGCCCCGCCGCCCTTCGCTGCGGCCCCGCCGCCCCACATTGCGGCCCCGCCGCCCTTCTTCGCAGCCCTGCCGCCCTTCGCTACGGCCGCGCTGCCCCTCGTCGCGGCCCCGCCGCCGTTCGCTGCGGCCCCGCCGCCCGTCTCAGCGGCCCCGCCGCCCTTCTTCGCGGCCTCGCCGCCCTTCGCTGCGGTCCCGCTGCCTCACGTTGCGGCCCCGCCGCCCTTCACTGCGGCCCCGCCGCCTCTCTCGCTGCGGCCCCGCCGCCCTACTCAGCGGCCCCACCGCCCTTCATTTCGGCCCCACCGCCTCTCTCACTGCGGCCCCGCCGCCCTACGCAGCGGCCCCGCCGCCCTTCACTGCGGCCCCGCCGCCTCTCTCACTACGGCCCCGCCGCCCTACTCAGCGGCCCCGCCGCCCTTCTACTGCGGCCCCGCCGCCCTTCTCAGCGGCCCCGCCGCCCTACTCAGCGGCCCCGCCGCCCTTCCCAGCGGCCCTGCCGCCCCTTCACCAGCGGCCCTGCCGCCCTACACCGCCCGCGCCGCCAGAGCCGCCCGAACCGCCCGAGCCGCCCGAGCCGCCCGACCTGCCCGAGCCGCCCGACTCTCCCGAGCCGCCCGAGCCGCCCGACCAGCCCGAGCCACCCGAGCCGCCCGAGCCGCCCGAGCCACCCGAGCCGCCTGAGCCGCCCGAGCCGCCTGAGGAGCCGAGCCACTGGTGCCACGGAGCCGCAGTTGCTGCTGTGCCGTCCGATCAGCCGTGTTGCCGTGCTGCTGTACTGCTGAGCTGCCCGACCCGCCCTGCCTGGTGAGAGCAGCGCTTCTGTCACTGCACTGCCCCTGTCCTACAGTTGGTACTGCTAGTCTACTGCTGTCATGGCTACCCCCAGTGTTCTCGCTTTTGACGCTGAGGGTCGAGCCATCGACTTTGAGGTTTGGGTAGATGACCTGCAGCTTTTCCTACAGTGCGATAGGGCAGACGGTCTCTCCCTCTTTGACCTCACCTCTGGTGCTTCCCCTGCCCCTGCTGCCGATGCCGACGCCACTGTTTGCTCCCAGTGGGCCACTCGCGATGCTGCTGCACGTCTTGCTGTGCGTCGCCACCTGTCTACCACTGAGCGCGCGCACTTTAGTCAGTACAAGAGTGCTCAGACCTTGTACAACGCTGTAGTTGCACGCTACTCTTCCCCTGCCACTGGTGCACTGAGCCGCCTCATGCTACCGTACCTCTTTCCTGACCTTGCTGCCTTTCCCACAGTCGCTGACCTCATTACGCACCTCCGCACTAGTGACACTCGCTACCGCGCCGCGCTTCGTGCTGAGTTCTGCGCCAAGAACCCCCCCCCCATGTACATCACTCTCAATTATATAGTCACCCGCCTCCCTGACTCCCTTCGCGTAGTCAGGGACCACTTCCTCTCAGTCTGTCCCACCACTCTCACTGTTGACCTCCTAGAGAAGACCCTCCTAGCAGCGGAGAAGAGCATAGTCGCTGTAGGAGCCTCTCATGGTGACCCTCGCACCCCCATCTTTGAGGGGTGTTCCCCTTCCCCCCTGTTGCCCTTTGTCACCTCTGCTGCTGCGGCCGACCTCGTTGGTCTTGAGTCAGTCGGTGCGGCGTCTGCCCCTAGCGGGAGACGCCGCTCTGGCAAGGGCAAGGGGGGCAAGGGCGCGTGTGGAGCTAGCGGGGGTGGTGGAGGTGGCGGTGGAGGCGGCGGAGGGAGTGGGGGTGGCGGTGGGAGTGGTGGCGGGGGTGGAGGTGGCGGTGGCAGCAGCAGAGGCGGAGGCGGCGGCGGCGGTAGCGGTGGGAGCGGAGGCGGCGGTGGTGGCGGCGGTGGAGGCGGCGGTGGTGGAGGAGGTGGAGCTGGTCGGGGTGGTGCTTCGCAGCGGAGCGGCTCCGGGGGTGGTCAGCGCCAGCAGCAGCAGCAGCAGCAGCGTTCTCGGGACATCCCCCCTCCTCAGCAGCTCCGTGAGTGGTACACGCAGCGTCAGCGTGGTGGGGGTTTTGGCCCGTGCACCTACGTCCTTCGCTCCGGCGACCGCACGGGTGAGCAGTGTGGGGGTGCCCACCCCACCCAACGCTGCTTTGGCCGCCTGACGGACGCTTGGCGTCAGCAGTTCCCGGAGGCTAGTGAGATCCCCCGCTGGGGAGAGCTGTCTAGGGCAGGTGTAGCTATCTATGATCTTCACTTTGATGCTATCCTTGCTGCCATGTATGCTGTGACTATTAGTGATGAGGGTGACTGTTACCGGTGTTTCCCGCCCGACCCAGGCATTGGTACTGCTGCTCTAGGTGCTGGTGAGGCTGGTGCTCTAGGTGCCAGTGCGTCTGCGCCCTCAGGTGCTGGTGAGTCTGCGCTCTCAGGTACCACGTCGGCTTCGGCCTCCCTCACCTTCACACTTGACTCAGGGGCTTCTCGCTCCTTCTTTCAAGACCGCACCACACTCACGCTGCTTGGTCGGCGGGTTGCAGTCTCCTTGGCAGACCCCTCTGGGGGTCCTGTCCTCTCTCACTTCTCCACTGTCCTCCCGTGTCCGGCTGCCCCCTCTGGCACCTTGTCTGGTCTTTACCTCCCCTTGTTCTCTACGAACTTGGTGAGTGGTGCTGACCTGCAGGATACGGGGATTCACCAGTTTACTCCTGCGAGTCAGCGGGTGACCCACTGCTCGGACGCTCGCACGGGCCGGCACCTGGCCACCTTTACGCGTCGGCCGGGGTCGAGCCTCTACACCCTGACCACTGGGTCCCCTCCTGTCCCTGCTTCTGGACAGGTAGCTGCGTCGGGTCAGGTGTTTGCTGCAGCGTCCACGTCTGGTCCTGAGTCTGCCCCCTGCTCGTGTTGCCTCCTGTCTCACGAGACTCTCCTGTGGCACCACCGTCTTGGTCACCCCTCCCTGCCTCGTCTCCGGGGCATGGCTTCCCGTGTCCTTGTCTCTGGTCTTCCCCGGTCCCTCCCTCCCCTTCCTCCGGGGCCTAGTCCTTCCTGTGTCCCCTGTGTCGAGGGGCGGCTCCAGGCTGCCCCTCACTCCTCTCAGTTTCCCCGACAGAGGCCCCGCTGCAGACGCTTCACATGGACGTGTGGGGCCTAGCCCGCGTCCGTGGACAGGGTCACGAGCGCTACTTCCTGCTGGTGGTTCACGACTACTCGCGTTACACCACAGTCTTCCCCTTGCGCAGCAAGGGTGATGTCACTGAGGTGTTGATCGACTGGATCCGCGCAACTCGTCTTCAGCTCAGGAGGAGCTTCGGCTCGGACTTTCCTGTTCTGCGTCTGCACTCTGACGGAGGCGGAGAGTTCTCCTCTGGCCTTCTGCGAGCCTACTGTCGTGCGCGAGGCATCCGCCAGACCTTTACGCTTCCGGACTCTCCACAGCAAAATGGGATTGCTGAGCGCCGCATTGGCATGGTCATGGACGTCGCTCGTACGTCCATGATGCATGCGGCTGCCCCCCATTTTTTGTGGCAGTTTGCGGTTCGGTACGCGGCGCATCAGATCAACCTTCACCCCAGGGTCTCCAGGCCGGAGACCTCCCCAGCCTTGCTGTGGACGGGGAAGGTCGGCGATGCGTCTACGTTCCGTGTCTGGGGATCTCGGGCGTTTGTTCGCGACTTGTCTGCGGACAAGCTGTCCCCTCGTGCTGCTCCCTGTGTCTTCCTTGGCTTCCCCCCTGACGCCCCTGGGTGGCAGTTCTACCACCCCACCTCTCGTCGTGTTTTGTCCTCCCAGAACGTCACGTTCGACGAGTCAGTCCCCTACTACCGCCTCTTCCCCTACCGCACTCCTTCCCCCCCCCCCGCCACCGCACTTCCTTGTGCCAGGTCCCCCCCCGGTAGACACCCTCCCCCCTCAGGGTCCTGCCCCTTCAGGTGTGACCCAGGTAGACGCAGTCGAGTCGGTCGAGGTTGCTGGTGACTTGCGTACTGCTGCAGGTGCTGAGCCTGGGGGTGCTGACTCTGGGGGTGCTGCGCGCGTGGGTGCTGAGCCTGGGGGTGCTGAGTGTGGGGGTGCTGCGACTGGGGGTGCTGAGCCTGGGGGTACTGCGACTGGGGGTGCTGAGCCCGGGGGTGCTACGACTGGGGGTGCTGAGCCTGGGGGTGCTACGTCAGGAGCTGCTGAGCCTTGGGGTGCTGCGTCTGGAGCTACTGAGCCTGGTGGTGCGGAGCCAGCGGCCGCTGGACCTGCTCGTGTGGCGTCTGGCGCTGCTGGGCCTGGAGGTTCTACGCGTGCTTCGTCTCGGCGGGAGCCACTCTCTCCACAGGAGCTGCGCGAGTGGTTTGCCCGGCGCTGGAGGCGTACTACTGGAGCTGGAGCTTCTTCGGCCGCTGAGGGTGCTAGTGCCGCCGGTCCCGGAGGTGCTCGTCCTGGGAGTGCTGGAGCTGCTGGGCCTGCGCGTACGACTGGAGCTGGAGCTGCTGAGGGTGCTGGCGCTGAGGCTACTGCTGTCAGTCGTGGCGGTGGTCCTGCTTCGGGTGCTGCTGGTACTGCTAGAGGTCCTGCAGCTGGAGGTGCTGTTGGCGCTGGTGCTGCCGCTGAGGGTGCTGGTGCTGTCCCTGCTGTGTCTGGAGTCGCCGCGCGGCCTCGGCCGTACTTCGTTCCGCTCCTTCAGCAGGTTCTTGGTCTCCCACCTTCTACTGGTCCTCCTCCTCCCTTAGAGTGTCCACTGCCTGTCCAGTCACAGTCACAGTTACCGCCCGCCTCCCCACTGCCTGCTCCCTCTCCTTACACTGGTCCTACTGGAGGTCTTGCTGAGCGTCGTGAGCTTGCGTCTCGTCCCGCGTCGCCTGTTCGTGCTGCTCGCGCTAGTGGTCGCGGTTCGAGTCAGCGTCCTCCTCCTATCCCTGGCACGCACCGGATGTCTCTGCGTCCGTCCACTGCTCCTCTGCGTGTCCCTTTGCCTTCTCCTCCTGAGTCCTCTCTTCCTGCGCTTGCCGAACCGAAGTCGGACTCTCTTCGTGCTGCTAGTCCTACCGTCACGCGTCTCCTTGCTACTGTCGTCACTGACCCCTCTTTTGAGTCCACTGCTGCGTCTGCTCTTGTTGCTGAGCTCGTCGACTTTGCTGCTCGCTGTCGTCTATACTACGCTGCTAGTCTTGTTGTTGAGTCTGCGTCTGTCTGTCCTGAATCCGTCAGGGGTGAGTGTGCTCTTGGCACGGACGTCCTTGAGGACACGCAGGAGGAGTTCCAGTGTCTGGCTGCTGCTTCACCTCATCTCGCGTCCGTACTGCTTACCCCTGAGGGAGACCCGGATGCACTGGACATCCCGACTCCGCGCTCTTACGCGAAGGCCGTAGAGGGTCCCTACTCCTCTCAGTGGTAGGCAGCTATGGATGCAGAGATGGCTTCGTGGAAGTCCACAGGCACCTACGTTGACGCGGTTCCTCCTCTTGGGGCGAACATCGTCAGTGGCATGTGGATCTTCAGGGTGAAGCGGCCGCCGGGCTCTCCACCTGTCTTCAAGGCGCGGTACGTGGCTCGTGGCTTCAGTCAGCGGCAGGGAGTTGACTACTTTCAGACCTTCTCTCCCACCCCAAAGATGACCACTCTTCGGGTGCTGCTACACATAGCCACTCAGCGTGACTACGAGCTTCACTCCCTTGACTTCAGCACTGCTTTCCTGCAGGGTAGCCTGCACGAGGAGATCTGGCTGCGCCGTCCACCTGGCTTCACTGGGACTTTCCCTCCTGACACCGAGTGGAGCCTCCGGCGGCCAGTCTACGGTCTTCGCCACGCACCGCGTGAGTGGCACGACACACTGAGGACTACGCTTGCGGCTCTTGGGTTTGCTCCCTCTACTGCTGACCCGTCGTTGTTTCTGCGCACCGACACCTCTCTGCCGCCGTTCTACATCCTCGTGTACGTCGACGACTTGGTCTTTGCCACTGCTGACACAGCTGGACTCGCCCACGTGAAGTCTGAGCTGCAAAAGAGACACACGTGCATAGACCTGGGTGAACTGCGCAACTACCTTGGCTTGCAGATCACCCGGGACAGAGCACACCGCACCATTACCTTGACTCAGTCACACATGGTGCAGCAGGTCCTTCAGCGCTTCGGCTTCACGTACTCCTCGCCTCAGGCCACTCCTCTGCCTACTCGCCACTCGCTCTCAGCTCTGCCTTTGGATGAGTCCGTAGAGTCGAGTGGCCCGTACCCAGAGCTTGTTGGCTGCCTCATGTACCTGATGACATGCACACGACCTGACCTTGCATACCCTCTTAGCATTCTTGCACGCTATGTTGCTCCTAGGAGACACAGACCAGAGCACATGGCTGCAGCGAAGAGGGTGTTGCGCTACTTGTGCAGTACGTCGGGCATGGGGCTAGTGCTTGGAGGGCGGAGTCCAGTGGTCCTCACTGAGCACGCGGACGCTTCTTGGGCTGACGACCAGGCTACGCAGCGGTCGTCACAGGGTTACACCTTCAGTCTTGGTTCCGGCTCTGTTTCGTGGCGGGCTACTCGCTCGTCTTCTGTTCTCGGCTCCAGTTGTGAGGCTGAGATCTACGCCGGGGCCATGGCTGCACAGGAGCTTCGCTGGCTCACCTACCTGCTGATTGACCTAGGAGAGCCGCCTCGTTCTCCTCCAGTGCTCTACGTAGACAACAAGGTCATGCTGGCCTTGTGTCGGGAGTAGCGCCTGGAGCACAGAACGAAGCACATTGCTCTCCGCTACTTTCTTGCTCGTGAGTTGCAGCAGCGTGGTCAGTTGCGACTTGCGTACGTGGCCTCTGAGGCCAACACTGCTGATGTTTTCACCAAGGCACTTCCGCCTTATGATCATCAGCGCTTCTACACTCAGCTGGGTCTTGTGCCTGTCTTGCCTCACTTGCTCACCCCTTGACCTTGCTTGTACTCTTACATATATATATACCTGCTCTTGCTTGTTTAGCCTTATATATATATATATATATATATATATAAATATGTGTACTCCTGCATGTGAACTGGCCTTGTTGCCTTGACCTTGTGCTCGGACTGTGTGGTGACGTTGTGATCCACCCTGAGCTTTGTCTGCTTTGCTTGACTGGTCTTGTGACCCCTTGTTCTCCCCCACTTTGCCTATGGGGGTGTGTCAAATTATAATATTGTGTAGGCTATAGTGGGGTAGCCTATATGGGATACACATTTCTAAGGTTGCATATTTGTATCACTTCTATTCCTTAGTCATTTCATTCTCGTTCTACTTTCCTCACGTATGTCAAAGTCGGTTAATGGCGCAACTGACAACGGTTGAAATGAAACCAGGGGAGAAAGGAATGGCGTATATCAGTCGATGCCGCGAGTTTCGCGACAAGCTTCTTCGATGCGGAGGGTCAATTTCCGAAGACGCCTTCGTGACAGTCATCATCGGCGGCCTCGGTCCTTAATGGCGCGCCACAAAGGCCATCCTCGGAGCTCACGGAAGAATCTCCAAAGCAGCGCTCTGCGCCAAAATCCACGCCGAGCAGCAAGACATGGACCTGCAAGAAGAACGACACAAAAAGAAGACATCAGCACCGGAATTCGCGTTCCACACTCAGCGACGCTACAACAACAACAACAACCAGCAGCAACAACCGAAGCCAGTACCTCCGTTCTGCCACATCTGCAAAACTTCAGGACACCTGCGCACGCACCGCCCGAATTGTCAACAGTCAACAACTCCACAGCGGCAACTTCGACCTTCAAGCAGCCAAATCGCCTCAACGCAAGCAAATCCCACGACTCAGATTCAAGCTTCAACGACCTTAACAGGACATCCTGCACAAGGAGCAAGAAACATCGTTAGCTGCATGGTAAAGCTGAGTGACTCCTGCATCACCGAGTCACCACCACACTACTCACCGGAAGAGCAACTCGACGAAACCACACCCCGCCGCGAGTCACTTCAGCCGAGCCCAACATACGCCGCCATCGCCCAAAGCAAACCATCCGGAAGGGATACATGGTTCTTGGACAGCTGGTGCGGACAGCACATGTGCTCCTCAGGACGCTTCGTTCAACGAGAACACCAACTTCAACGCGAAGTTGTCATTACAGTCGCCAACAATCAGAACCTGCGAACACGACGACAAGGTGTAGTTCAACTTCAGTCAAGGGAAACAAACGTTGTACTGCAGATGTCAAAAGTACTGATCGCGGAGGGACTCGGCTACAACTTACTGAGCGTCAGTCAGCTAATGGCGAAGGGGATTCACCTCGAAGCAGACAGCATCACCCAAGAATTCAAGCTGTATCACGGGAGAGGAGGTCTCTACATCGGCAAGGCGGTCCTCAAGAACAACGTCTTCGTTCTTGACTTCGTTCCTGACCTTGGCACCGCCGACAGCGACGCCATCGTTAACTTCACCAACTGGACACACCCTCCAGACCTTGATCCAGACTTCAGTCCAGAAGGCTTCTGGTATTCACACACCATCCCCGAAGCAGAAAGAACAAGGGCGTTAGCAACAATTCAGACAACATCGGCAGCAGCAGAGACAACATCGGCAGCAGCAGAAACAACATCGGCAGCAGCAGAGACAACATCGGCAGCAGCAGAAACAACATCGGCAGCAACAGAGACAACATCGGCAGCAGCAGAGACAACATCGGCAGTAGCAGAACCATCAACGGCAGCAGCAAGAACGTCAACACCAATTTCTGGTCCTTCAACGACACCGCTCCTCATCGACGACACACCACCGACACCCGCGCAAAAACTACACCCAGCACCACGAGAAGTTCATCGTAGCGCCAACTTCACCGCCAACTTCTACTCCAACTCCGATATGTACCAACGATCACCCGGACATCGCGCCGACGAAAGCACCTGGCACGCAAGGATGGGACACCCAAGCAACACAATATTAAACAATACGATAAGAGCAGGAGTGCTCGACAAGGACTCACTCCTACTGATCGACGGACGAGAACTTCAACGAGTACGCAGAACGTGCCTCACCTGCCCCGAAGGTGACTTACCACATCGACCGTTTACGTCTCATCACAGCCCGAGCGCTCCCGCGTACGCACCACTCGAGAAGGTGTATAGCGACATCCTGTTCAATCGGGAACGAGGACAAGTAACATACAACTACACGATCACCTTCATCGACGCCGCCACCCGTTACGTCTGGCACCTAAACCTCCCTAGCCGCGACATGGCATTCGCACCCTTCGTTACCTGGCTACCAGTAGCAGAGAGAGAATCGGGCGTGAAGCTGAAAAGCTTCCAGACAGACGGAGGAGGAGAATACACCTCTCAGCGATTCACGCAGTACCTGGCGGAAAGGGGAATCAAGCGGCTCATCTCCCTTCCCTACGCCCATCAGCAGCAAGGCGTGGCAGAAAGAATGAACAGGACCTTGCAGAACAGCATCCGCAAACTGTTACGTGGCGTGCGGCTACCCAACCACCAGTGGCCTGCAGCAATGGACCACGCTGTCATGCTGCATAACTTGCTGTCGTCATCATCGCTTCCGAACAACGCATCACCGCATCTGCTATGGACACGGAAACAGGGCAGCACAAAAATGTTACGAGTATTCGGATGCATGGTACAGTACCGACCCTCAGCAGCACGAGCGGGCCGATTTTCTCAACGAGCACAGTAGGGACTACACCTGGGAATCGAAAAGAACTACAACACGTGGAAAAACTTTGACGTCCACTCCAAGGAAACAGTAGCAGCACGTGACGTAATTTTCTACGAACGACTCACGCTCCAGACATACCTTGCCAACCTGCAAGAAGACGAAGATCCCACAGGTGGTTTTCGTGGTGACCGAGCCTTCGCCTCAGCAGCGGACGAAGCTGTGTGGGACGAGCAGAATGTGGACAACGCATCACAAGAAGCCGGACCTCTTTCGTTATGCTCCGTCGACGTTCCCATGGACGAAGACAACCTTCACGAAAGTGCCAACGCCGAAACCTTCTACCATTTCGCCGACAACGGTTACGTAACACTTGCGACAGTCAACACTAACGAAGCAGAACGAGTAGGTTCGAACTTCATACCTGATCCAGAAGCGGGAGATGAAGCAGCTTATCCCGAGGACGTAAATCTTCCCCGCTACTCACAGAGTGGACTGCAGATTCTCGGACTCGTCACCGCAGTCCACGGCACGGCCACTCCTAAAGAGCCTGCAACGGTTCAACAGGCTCTGGGGGGGGAACATAAGGAAAAATGGCGCGAAGCCATGGACTAGGAGCTGAAGGCACTGGAGGAATGCAACATGTGGAAAGTGGATCCTATCGGCGTGGCACTGAACAAGACAGTGCTCACCGGGAAGTGGGTCTTCCGTGTGAAGACAAAGGCTGACGGCACCATCGATAAATTTAAGGCACGCTGGGTCGTACGCGGCTTCGACCAAGAGCACGGACGAGACTTCACCGAAACTTTCGCTCGGTTAGCCGCCACACCTCACTACGCATTCTCCTCGCGATCGCCGCCATGAAGAAGAAGAAGAAGAAGCTGCCGCAAATCGACGTCGCTAAGGCATTCCTCTACGCATCTGTTGACGCAGAGATCTTCGTCGAGCTACCACACGGCTCCAGCACGGACTCGAACCACGTCTGTCAACTACTCAAGTCGCTCTACGGCATCAAGCAAGCTCCGCGACTATGGCAAAAATACCTACACGCTCGCCTCATTCGCATCGGCTTCAAGCAATTGCCGCACGACCAGGGCATGTACCGGCTCACGAAGGGTACCGACTACATCCTGCTAATCGTCTATGTAGACAATCTGCTCTACATCGGCTCAACTGACGGCATTACAACCTGGTTTGAAGGAGAGCTACAGCAAGACCTCACACTCACGGTCTCATCTACCGTCAGACAGTACCTCGGCCTCAACATCCGGGAAGAGGAAGACGCTATCTACCTCAGCGCCGCGAAATACGCCGACACCATCGCCAAGCGTTTCGCACTCACACCGACTGTCATCTCCACACCGTACCGCTACACGACAGCAAACAACAAAGAAGGCTCCGCTCTATTCAAGCCCGCCGGCATACGCGACTACCAGAGAAAGCTGGGCTGCCTTCTCTTCGCAGCTGCCACCTGCCGCCCAGATCTATCCTACTCTGCAAGCCAGCTCGCCACCCACCTCAAGAAGCCTGAAGCGGAACATCTGGCGGAGCTCGACCGCGCTCTTCACTACCTTGTCAGTACCCCGACGGTCGGCTTGACTTACCATAAGAACGCAACTACAACGCCTAAGCTAATCGGTTACGTCGACGCAGTTCACGCGGGCGACTCCGACAACAGACGATCGCGCACTGGCTACATCTACCGCTTCGAGCCTATCGGACCTATCTCCTGGCAATCGAGCAAGTAGGAACTAATTGCTCTCTCGTCAGCTGAAGCAGAATATATTGCACTCTGCTCAGCCACCAAGGAAGGACTCTATCTTTGCGAGGTGCTGGAAGAAGCGAAGTTAGCCGAGTTACCCAACTTTACCCTGTTCTGCGACAACCAGTCGGCAATTCGCATCGCCAACAAGAACGGCTTCGCGAACAGGACGAAACACATCGCCCTGCGATATTTCTTCGTGAAGGACGAGATCGAGAAGGGAAGGCTCGAGCTGTCATACTGTCCCACGTCCGAGATGGCAGCTGACTACTTGACCAAGAAGCTCGGAAAGCAGAAGTTCGAATACTGCATGCTGCTGACTGGACAGAGCCACGTCAACGACACTCCAGAAGCGAAGGGGAGTGTTGGAAACAATCGGTCCTAAGCGCCTCTATCGTGCCGAAACACTATGGCACAAGCGAAGCAAAGCATATCGAGGCACCATCGAGTCAACCCTCGGAGGTTGAAGTAACCGCTGGAGGTTACGCGAAAGTCAAAGGTCAGCGACCTTTGACCTGACAAGTATAGCGCGACAGCAAGGACACACAACTGACTCACTACAGAGCAGTTGCCCGAGTCGTCACTGTATCGAACCGCAACAGCAACAAGTAAAACAGTTATAACCGTATCCTTTCATATTCCTTGTACTCTGATATAATCTTGTATCTCTTTGTTTTAATCAACTTACTTTGCCCTCACATACTAGCGCAAGGTGGTTCACAACTCTTTATTAACGCTTCCGCTACTACACCAACTCTACCCAAAGTTCACCCTTGCAAAGATCCTAAGGGCCTTTTCAGCCCAACAATAGTGACCCCCCTTCTAGTTGGGTCCACTTGAAAACAGAAGTTTTTTTGGGACGTCTCGGAAAGCTGGAAGTGCTGTACGTTTTTATTATTTCACTCCAGACAAGTCTCGATATGAACGGGGAACATTTGGAACCTGTTTACATTTCTGATTGGCGGCAAAACTCACACACAACTCACACACATACATGTGCGAATTTGGCGCAAGGTTGCAAGGCCTGTACTCACTCGAGCAGTCATCGTAACTTCACCAAAACTCACAACAATCAACAGCACAGGCACAACTCAGCGCACACACATATGCACGATCTGGGAGTGAATGTTGGCCGACGAATGGAAGAGCTGCGAGAAAAAGGGTTCCTTGGGCTTGAGGTTGAGAGAGGTAAAAAAATAGGGAGAGAGAGAGGGGAACAACGGGATGGGAGGGGAGACCGTGAAGAACTACGGAAGGGAGGGAGAGAGGAGGCGAACGACGGGATGGGAGGGGAGAGGAGGCGAACGACGGGATGGGAGGGGAAAGGAAGCAAACGACGGGATGGGAGGGGAAAGGAAGCGAACGACGGGATGGGAGGGGAAGGAAGCGAACGACGGGATGGGAGGGGAGAGGAGGCGAACGACGGGATGGGAGGGGAGAGGAGGTGAACGACGGGATGGGAGGGGAAAGGAAGCAAACGACGGGATGGGAGGGGAAAGGAAGCGAACGACGGGATGGGAGGGGAAAGGAAGCGAACGACGGGATGGGAGGGGAGAGGAGGTGAACGACGGGATGGGAGGGGAACGGAAGCGAACGACGGGATGGGAGGGGAACGGAAGCGAACGACGGGATGGGAGGGGAAAGGAAGCGAACGACGGGATGGGAGGGGAAAGGAAGCGAACGACGGGATGGGAGGGGAGAGGAGGCGCACGACGGGATGGGAGGGGAAAGGAAGCGAACGACGGGATGGGAGGGGAAGGAAGCGAATGACGGGATGGGAGGGGAGAGGAGGCGAACGACGGGATGGGAGGGGAGAGGAGGTGAACGACGGGATGGGAGGGGAAAGGAAGCGAACGACGGGATGGGAGGGGAAAGGAAGCGAACGACGGGATGGGAGGGGAAAGGAAGCGAACGACGGGATGGGAGGGGAAAGGAAGCGAACGACGGGATGGGAGGGGAAAGGAAGCGAACGACGGGATGGGAGGGGAGAGGAGGCGCACGACGGGATGGGAGGGGAAAGGAAGCAAACGACGGGATGGGAGGGGAAAGGAAGCGAACGACGGGATGGGAGGGGAAAGGAAGCGAACGACGTGATGGGAGGGGAGAGGAGGCGAACGACGGGATGGGAGGGGAAAGGAAGCAAACGACGGGATGGGAGGGGAAAGGAAGCAAACGACGGGATGGGAGGGGAAAGGAGGCGAACGACGGGATGGGAGGGGAGAGGAGGCAAACGACGGGATGGGAGGGGAAAGGAAGCGAACGACGGGATGGGAGGGGAAAGGAAGCGAACGACGGGATGGGAGGGGAGAGGAGGCGCACGACGGGATGGGAGGGGAAAGGAGGCAGGCAAACGACGGGATGGGAGGGGAGAGGAGGCGAACGACGGGATGGGAGGGGAAAGGAGGCGAACGACGGGATGGGAGGGGAAAGGAGGCGAACGACGGGATGGGAAGGGAAAGGAGGCGAACGACGGGATGGGAGGGGAGAGGAGGCGAACGACGGGATGGGAGGGGAGAGGAGGCGAACGACGGGATGGGAGGAGAGAGGAGGCAAACGACGGGATGGGAGGGGAAAGGAGGCGAACGACAGGATAGGAGGGGAAAGGAAGCGAACGACGGGATGGGAGGGGAAAGGAGGCGAACGACGGGATGGGAGGGGAGAGGAGGCGAGTGTCGGGATGGGAGGGGAAAGGAAGCGAACGACAGGATGGGAGGGGAAAGGAAGCAAACGACGGGATGGGAGGGGAAAGGAAGCGAACGACGGGATGGGAGGGGAGAGGAGGCGAACGACGGGATGGGAGGGGAAAGGAGGCGAACGACGGGATGGGAGGGGAGAGGAGGCGAACGACGGGATGGGAGGGGAAAGGAGGCGAATGACGGGATGGGAGGGGAAAGGAAGCGAACGACGGAATGGGAGGGGAGAGGAGGCGAACGACGGGATGGGAGGGGAGAGGAGGCGAACGACGGGATGGGAGGGGAAAAGAAGCGAACGACGGGATGGGAGGGGAGGACGTGAGCGATAGGAGATGAAGTGGACGGGATGGGAGGGGAGATTGCGCGAAGGTGATGGGAGAGAGAGCGCGAAGGAGATGGGAGAGAGAGCGCGAAGGCGACGGGAGAGAGAGCGCAAAGGCGACGGGAGAGAGAGCGCGGAGGCGACGGGAGAGAGAGCGCGGAGGCGACGAGAGAGAGAGCGCGTTAGGCGACGGGAGAGAGAGCGCGAAGGCGACAGGAGAATGATAGGCGATGCGCGAGAGAGGAAGGCGACCGGGAAACGCAACGCGATGATTGCGCGAGGCTTGGAAACACAATGCACTAATTCAAGATGTATTACGCAGAAGCGCGAAGTTCATGACTACGCGCCTAGTCGGAAATTGTCGAGGTCCTAAGCTACTCAATGTTAGGCAGAAAGCTGGAATGATTAGTTCTCACTCTGCTATGTGAATAAACTAGTGACTAGAGGAAGTGGGTGATGAACCCAGGACCAGCTTGAAATTGGAGTTGGGTCTGGCGACGGAAAAGCATCGCCAGGGAACGGTCGTGCGGATGCAGCACGCACGTATGCGACAGCTGATATGAACCTCGAAAATCGTTTTGGCGAGAGCCAATTTTTTTCAGATTGGTGTGAGCCAATCAGATTACTTCAACATGCCTAACCGTTTTGTTTGGAACAGTGTTGTATCAGCCGAACTCATCGCAGCGATTTCAAGGTGGGACGGCCTTCACTATTTTATATTTCGGTTTTAAGAAAGGTGGTGAATATCCGAGACACCTCGGCGGGCCAGGTAAGCATCCACAACCGGATATCCCAGTAGCGAATCAGCAGCGACATACGTGTCGTCCTCGCTCGTGCATTCTTTCCAGCGAAGCAGGAATTTCACCGAGCGGCCGGCGGCAGTCACGTCCACGCGATGGTTGAGAATCTTCCAAGGTTCCAGCGTGGGCTCCGCCACGGGGCGTGTGGTCGGCGCGATGGTTGGCCGAGCAACAGTTGGCGACTGCGGCTGTTCGTAATGACGCAGCAGGCTGACGTGGAAGGCGTCATGTATTTTCCAATCGTCGGGCAGCAACAGCTTCGCGGTGACAGGTGTCACCATCTGGGTGATACGAAATGGTCCCACGTATCAGGGCCTTAGTTTCGCGGGCTGCGGCAGCCTGAGGTTCTTGGTGTCTAGAAGCACAACGTGCCCTGCGCGAAAGGGTAAATTCCGTCGATGTTTATCCACCTGTCGACTGGCCGTGGTATTAGCTTTACGAATGAAATCAGCTGCTTTCGTGCGGGCTGTCTCCAGCTCCGTGACAAACTGTTGCGATCGTGGTACCGGGTTGTCCACAGTCGTTGAGGAGGGTACCACGGGGTCTATCCCGTAATTCAAGAAGAAGGGCGATTGTTTAGTCGTGGCCGAAGGGGCGTTGTTGTACGCGAATTCCAGCATCGGCAGCGAATCCTCCCACTTGCGAATGTCTGGGCAGTTGGTGCGAATCAGTTGCTCCATGGTCTGATTTGTCCGTTCCGTCTGTCCGTCGGTTTGCGGGTGGTATGGTGACGAAAACTGCAGGCGTGTGCCGTACTGTGCCCATGTATCCTGCCAGAACTTTGACGTAAATTTCGGATCACGATCGCTGATGATCGCCGAAGGTAACCCGTATAGGCGTACGACGGTGAAGATGAACAGTTTGGCTGTATCTTCGTCTGTGATCGTCGTTCGGCATGGGGCGAAATGCACCATTTTCGTTAGGCGATCGACGACGACCATCACCGAGTCGTTGCCACTCGTGCCAGCTGGAAGCCCCGTGACGAAATCCATCGTCACCTGTTGCCACGGTCGTTCGGGTGGCGCGACGGGTTGCAGCAGTCCGGCTGGCCTTTGTCGCGACGACTTCATTGCTTGGCAGGTCGAGCAAGTTGACACGTAGCGCTGCACATCGGTGTGCATGTCCGGCCAGAAACAATTCCGCTGCAGCAGCTTCAGTGTTTTGTCGGTGCCAAAATGTCCGGAGAGGTTGGAGTTGTGGACCTCCTGCGTCAGCAACTCCCGTAAAGGCTGGTATGCTGGCACCCAAATCCGGTTCGTACCGGCTTTTAGGTAGTACTTGCTGTCACAATATATATATTTGTAACTGCCTGTAGCTGTAGTTAGTGTAGATATTTAAACTTTGTTTGGTGGTGCACCTTATGTGTTTCCTTTGCTATATGTACTTCGAAACTATAGTGAAGACACACATTCTCCAATTTTCCTCTCTCAACTCACTCGACACTCACCCTAGGTGAAAACCCGCTCGACACTTAAGTTAGGGCCTAGGCTACTAAGCCTAGGCCCCACCTTTCTACTGTTAATTACTTAGTCTCTCGACATGTTATCGGAGCTAGGTTCGTCCTGGCCTGTGGGCCCACTTTACACTTCCGCTGCTAAGGTTTTCCGGTCGCGCACCTAGGGCGCGTGACGATTTTATTTTTACATTGTCCCGCCCACGGGCGAGTGACTCCTTCCCTGCCCGTCGCGCGCCCCGTGGCACGCGACGGTGCCCTTCGTCTGCCCATCGTGCGCCCCGTGGCACACGATGGTGCCCTGCTCGTCGTGCGCCCCGAGGCACACGATCAGGCCCTTCTATTCTACCCGTCGTGCGCCCCGTGGCACTGGCCCGCGACGGGCCTTTCCGCCCCTGCACTCCCTGAAGCCGCCCCTGACACCACTGCACCGACACCTTTTCGCCGCTCTGCGGCTTTCTTCCTTCCCACCCCCCTCCTCCTTTGTCTCCCTGCAGCCGCGGGGAGGAGGGTATGGGGGTGGAGGGTGTTGGAGTGTGGCGTCACCTCTCTCCCTTCCCCTCCTCCTTCTTTCAGTCCCACCGCTGCAGCTGCCGCTGGGGGGAGAAGGTGTGAGGATGTGGGGGAGCAGGGGGAGTGGTACCGGGGTGGCGGGTGTGAGGCAACATGCAGCCGTCCCTCCACCTCTCCTCTCTTCCCCCCCTTCTCTGCTGCTCCTGCAGCAGTGTGGGGGAGGGGAAGGAGGAGGGTGAGGAGATGGAGGGGGTGACCACTTAGTGTCAGCCCGCCTGCATTACCTGCTGTTGCTTGCTATTTATTTTGCATGTGTACACCTGCAGGTTGTATTCTACACATACTCCTGCTGCAGGCAGTTATGGGGCAGTGTCACAATATATATATTTGTAACTGCCTGTAGCTGTAGTTAGTGTAGATATTTAAACTTTGTTTGGTGGTGCACCTTATGTGTTTCCTTTGCTATATGTACTTCGAAACTATAGTGAAGACACACATTCTCCAATTTTCCTCTCTCAACTCACTCGACACTCACCCTAGGTGAAAACCCGCTCGACACTTAAGTTAGGGCCTAGGCTACTAAGCCTAGGCCCCACCTTTCTACTGTTAATTACTTAGTCTCTCGACACTTGCCATGTGGCGTGGCAGCCTGATGGTGCGGGTTCCGAAAAAACCTGTCGATCTTGTAGCCATGGGTGAATAGTTCCGTCAGCATCGGGTTGGTGTGGGCAATTAGTACCGCCGCGTTTTGCATGGATGGTCGGGTGAGGGCGTCGGCGATGTTGTTGGCGCCCTTCTTGTACGTGATGGTGTACCGAAAATTGGACTCGAGGAAGTCCAACCACCGGATTTGTCGCCGGTTGAGTGCCGGTTGTGTACGCATGTACTGTAGCGATTTGTGGTCGGTTCGGATTGTCACGTCGGCTCCCGTGAGCTAGCAGCACCAGGTACGAAATGCATGGACGATGGCCAGCATTTCTTTGTCGTGGACTGGGTAGTTGCGCTCGGGTGGCTGCATCTTGCGTGATTCGTAGGCGATGGGTTGCAGCCCATTGCCGAAGTCCTGTAGCAGGACGGCGCCGACGGCAAAATCGCTGGCGTCCGTGACGGCTTCGAACGGTCGGGATGGGTCGGCGAGGCGGAGCACCGGGGGGGAACCCAAAATGTTTTTGAGGGCGTCGAAGGCGGACTGCTCCCTCTCCCCCCACTGAAAATGAGTGTCCTGATGCAGCAGGCCGGTCAGCGGCTTGGTTATCCCTGCCATATTAGGTACAAAACGACGAACGTAGTTAACAAACCCCAGAAAACTTTCCAACTCAGGGATATTAGTCGGCGACTTCCACTTAATGATGGCGTCCATTTTACGCGGGTCGATTTTGATTCCCTCGCCAGAAACCACGTGCCCTAAAAACTCCAACTCCGGCTTCAGGAACTCGCACTTAGACCCCTTCGTAATTAGCCGATGCCCCTGTAAACGCCGGAACACCTCCTCTAAATCCCGCAGATGGTCTTCTTTTGTCGCGCTGTACACCAGGATGTCGTCCATGTACACGATGACTTTTTTGTCCAGCATGTCCCGGAAAATCCCGTTCATTGTGAGCTGGAACGTTGAGGCGCGTTTGTCAGTCCGAACGGCATCACCGTAAATTCGTAATTGCCGAATCGTGTGCTTTCAACGCTGTATTCGGGCAGTCGTCGGCGAACACGCGAATTTGGTGGTAGCCTCCTCGCAAGTCGATTTTCGAGAAGTATCGAGCTCCGCGAAGTTGATCCAGCAGATCGTCAGTTCGCGGGATCGGGTAACGCGATTTTATCGTGACCCGATTCAGCGCCCGATAATCAATGCACATGCGTAGGCCCCCATCCTTCTTCGGTGTGAACAGTATCGGCGCTGCATACGGCGACGTGCTTGGCCGGATAAATCCTTTGGCGAGCAGGTAATCCAGCTGGGCCCGCAACTAGGCGAGCTCTGGTTGGCTGAGCCGCCACTGTGTTCGAATAGTAGGTTGCGCGCCGGGCTCCAGCTGGATCCGATGATCTTCAGGGCGTTGGGGGGGTAGGCCATTCGGGAGGTCATCCGCCAAAATTTCGGGATACCTCCGAATAATGCTCGCCAGTTCCTCGGGGACTGCTGCGTAGAGGGTGTCGATGTCCGCGATTTTCTCGGAAGCTGCCACCTCGTACAGGTGCACCAAGAAGGCCTGAGCTCCGATGTTCATCGCTCACGCCATGTTGACCGCGTTGACACGTGTCGTCACCGGCTCCGGCTCCGTCCATTTCGGAAGCGTCGTCTTCCCTCCGTATCCGTGCACGACGCACGCCCCAGTCGTCCAGTCGATCGTCGGATTGAAGCGCTGCAGCCAATCCTTCCCCAGCAGCACATCGAAGTCGTCCAACGTCGTCGCCAACATCTTCATGCCAAACCCGAAATTGTCGCCGCACCGTATCCGAATTTTTCGCGCCTCATCTCGGATGGCCAGCGGTGTCCCGTCCACCAACCGTGCATCGATCTCCGGTAGACACCTGGTCAGCTTCACCCCATTTTTTTTTGCCGTTGCCAGGTTGACGAGACTGTGGCTCGCCCCACCGTCAACGAAGATTTCTATTCTATAACCGTTAACCCTCCCCACCACCAGCACAGGGTAGTCCACGTGTTCACCCACGTTATTCGTCCAGTTCTGGTCGATAGCTCTGATCGGTACCACGACCCGGTGTGGATGGTGATTGTCGCACGACAGGGTCTCGTCAGTAGGGGGCCCGTCTGCTACTGACTCATATCTTTTCCCGACCCTTCTCCGTCGTTCTTCTTCCCCTGCTTAAGCCTCGGGCTGTCTTTTTTCAGGTGGCCTAGCTGGTTGCATATAAAGCACGGCCCAAGGGCTCGGCTTGATCGTGGGCTGCTGAGTCGATCCACGAAATCGAGGGCCCTCCCGGGAGCTCGATCTCGCCCACTGTATCAGTGCATCTGTTGACTCAGCTTCTCGGACGGCGTCGTTGAAACTGCGTGGCCGCGTTCGTGGGACCTCGTACTGTATCTCATATTTGAGGCCCGCCACGTAGCGATCCAACCGCTCTTCGTCGCTCATGTCGTCCACTTGGTCCGCCAAATTGCAGAATGTGCTGGTATAGTCTTGGACCGAAGTCAACTGCTTCCAAGCACGCAGCTTCATGCGAGCAGAGTCCGAGGCGAATATGTGCTCGAACTTGGTTCGCAAGGCGGCGCCCCACTCCCTCCATGTGCATATCGTAGCCGTCCCAAAAATTGATGCTGCTCGATGCGTGACATGTGTCGAAGTCCCGTCGTTCGCACGTGCTATTCCTGCCGAAGTCCCTTCGTCTTGCAGCGTTCGCCTCCACCACTCTAGCGCAGGTCCTCGCAACAGTGAAACTGCGAAATTAACGCGGGTGGCATCGTCATAAATCATGGCAGCATTGAAAAATACCTCCACACCGAACAACCATGCAGAAACAGTGACGAACTTGTCACTTGGGTTAAACGGGGGTGGGTTCGTCGGCTTGATTTTAACTGTTGTCAAAGCCGTTGCTGCCACTGGGACTGTTGGCATCGCTGTTGGCGTCGCCGTCGTCGTCGCTGCTGCATGTGTCGGGGCTGCATGCGACTGTTGTGGTGACTGCTGCTGTTGCGCATGCCTCGCCTCGTCCGCATCTATCTCGCCTTCCAGCTCGCTCCAGCCCGCTCATCTGGTGCAGTGCTGCTACTTGCGTCGTCCACGACAGGCGACTCCTGACGCGCTTCATTACGCGCCTGGTGTAGTTCGACGTTTTCCTTCCGTAGACGCTCCATCTCTGCAGTCATACCCTGCAAGTTGGCTTGCATCGCACAGAACTGTTGCATGAACTCGTTAAACTCAGCCTGTTCCATGTGCCTCAGGCTTCGTCGAACGGGCAGGGGTTGGCTCGCGATTTTTCTGACTTCGGTGAAGGCGTAAATGCTATCGTAGTCGGAGTGGAATAATCGGATCTATTCCACGGGCCGACCGCTTTACAGCCCACCAAGTCTATCGCTCCCCTTCTACAAACTACTCTGGAAACGCGAGGGTAACCTAGGAAAGTAGGCTATGATACCAAGTGTTATGAGTTGTGAAAGGAAGAGTGCGCAGAACTCAATAATGCGGAAGTGATTACAATGTCTGAGAACACGAGGCCTAGGACTAATATAGCGAAGCTAGCTAGGCCGAGGTCGCGGGGTCGCGAGATGGTTGGGTGCAGGTTCGGGGTTGGAAAACCCAAAGGCGACGCGGTGGTGGCTCGGAAGGCGAGGTCGGCGGACCGAGCCTGGTTTTCCGAAAACCGGGGTTGTACGCGTACAGTGTGACCCTGTAAGGAATCCGGAAAATTCCTTACATGTTGAGTTCCAATAACCTCCAGCCGTGATTTCCTAGTGGTTGAAGCTGCCAACATTTCAGCTGGTCGAACTTGTAATTCATTCAAGAAGGTACACGATCCTCTTGGTTGGGGGTTCTTTCAGTCAATCTGTCGTGCTATATTGGAGAACTAATCCCCGCTGCAAGATGCAAGGCAAACCCAAGGTGCCACGGCAAGCCCCGAGCTGGCCAATCAAACCACCTCCCTCCAATACAGCACCGTGGTTTCCCATTGGTGTTTGACGAAACTGGCGAATTCAGACAGTCGAGATATTTTCAGTTCGACGAGAATCGCCAGCGCGAAAACGAGGAAGCTCACACGTTCGCCAAAACTCAAATGGATCATGGACCATGGCCCATCAATGTGTTGTGCTGTTGCATGAATGACCCTCCCCACAGCACATGCCTCAAGGCTGTCTCGGGGGAGGATGTGTGGTGTGGGGAAAGAGGGATGAAGGGGACAGAAAGCCAGCAGAAAGCAACACACCATACCTGACGACCAGGTTAGAAGAACCTCAGAGACCTTATTGCAAAGCGGTAGCACGAGTTTCAAAATGATAGAAAGTGAAGTTTCGTATGTGCAGTACGGTAGCAACTCGAACTTGAGTGGGGAGCCATGAGACCAAAAGCAGCAGTATCGAAGCAAGATTCAAGCTTTTTATTGTTAGAAAACTAGGCATTTATCTTTTCCTCCCCCTCTTCCCTTCCTCCTCCCCTCTTCTTCCTCCATTCTACGTACCCCTTGAATGGAGATCTAGGCCTCTAGATACAGTAGTACCTGCCAGGGACACATGCAAGGCAGATACGATTAGCCAATTTAGATCTTATTTTCCTTTGTTTTAGGTTTTTTGTTGTTGTTTTTTTTTTCTTTACAAGTTGTGAGTTTTTTTTCAGTCATCCTCGAGATCTCTCGTGAACCCTATTCCGAAACCTAAGAAGCCATGGCCGGACCGTCGCCCAGCGTCACGCAAGACGGACAAGGTAGCCATCTCACGAGGACAATTAGTAAAAACACACACGAAAAACCAAGAAACTGAGGGTTACGAATGACTCGCGCGTTCGCTATGTACGCTCGAGTGACAGCACTGTTCGTCATCGCTCCTGCTTCTGTGGACCTAATCTCTTGCTGCGTGCATTCTAGCCGACATAACACCAGTCATGTATCCTCCCCCGCCTTCCTCCCCCCCTCCTCCCTTGGTTTGTTTGTTTGCTTGTTTTTTTTTTTGCGGCTTTTCCCGCCTTTCTTGCTTTCTTATCTTTCAACAGCTTCCAACAAGCCAGAGGGAGCCAGCGGCTCTATCGGAGCAGCAGCTCCGACTGCCGTGACTCCGTCAGCAGAGGTACATTCGCCTTCATTGATAAGATTTTTAAGATTGCAACTCGAATTGCGACTCTGATGATTTGAAAGGGTCTGCACTTTTCCTCTCCGAGTGATGGTTATTAAACCCTTCAGTGCAAATGCGTGCGTTTCCTAGGAAAAGAATTCCCGTTTGATATCAGAGGAAATCTTGGTCCCCACCAATCCGCATTCACCTCGTCCGGAAATAATCCTGGATACACACTCTATTCCGCGAAAGGTATCAAGCCTATCCGATCCACGGACCTGACCAGGCAGCGACAAACCAGAAGGCCACCTAATCAAAAGCGATATTCGAATCAGTTTGATCCATATTACACGCTTTCGCCACTGGCCGATGCCAATATCAGCGGGATTTCCGCATATTTCTATGCCTCATTCCCTTTTTCCCGTTTCCTCAAGCAGGCTTCAGGAGCAGCAGGGGGCTCCCAACGATCGCCTTTGAGACGTCTCAAAGAATTCCGCATACTTTCTATGCCTCCTTCCCTTATTCGCTCGTCCCATGCAGGCTCCAGAAGCAGCAGGGGGCTCCCATGCAGCGCCAGGGGGGTCTTTCCAACCGTCGACAGGCGCTGTCGCCGCACCCGCGGGCCCAGTAATCGTGGGCCCGCCCGGAACCATTCCCCCAGGCGCGGGGGTTCCGGGCGCAGGCGGAGCACCCGGCGCAGGGGGGGGAGTAGCGGGGGGGGTGGCGGGCGCGTCTCCCGTAATGCAGGCTATGCCTGGGGGAATGCAGCACATGCAGCCGTATATGATTCCCCCTATGGGACCGGATGTGCATGGCATGTATTACCCCGGGAATGGATACATCCCCCACTACTACTACGATTACTCCATGCCAGGTCAGCATTTTTTGCCTCATTCCAACATTCCCGTTCTCACCAAAACCCATTTTTCCCACTGCCATTGCCCCTCTCCCGCCCACCCTCCCCTCCCGCCCCCCGGCTCCCCCAATCCCTCCACTTCCCCAGACCCCCCTCCTGCACCTTCCCCCCTCCGCCCACCCCGTCCCTCCCCCTCTTTTCCTCGGTTTTTTTCGTTCCATACATCGTTCCCATTTAATTTCTCGTCGTTTCAGTCACCATCCAGGTGTCTCATCTTCCCGCTTCCCCCCTCAACTCCTTCTCAAACAACCTCGCCGTTCCTCTAGATACGCCCTCCAACGCTCAAACGCTCTCCCCTTTCTCTCCCCCCTCTGTCCCATTCGCTCCCCTTCCCCCTTCTTCCCGTCCCTCCAGGCTACGCGGATCCTCCGCGCATGCCCCCGGAGCAGTGGGAGGAGTACATGCGCATGGCCGCGCGGATGGATGGGGGAGCGGGCATGATGGACGGTCAGCAGCCGCCGGTAGGTCGTTTGGGTGACAAAGCCGTTTGCAGCACCGTTTCCAGCGCTGGAGGTGATTTGTGAGTTAAAATTAATCTCCTTGGGGAGCAGGCATGGTGGACGGTCAGCAGGAGCCAGTAGGTCGTCTGGGTAGGTCGCAAGGGCCTTTGCAGGGCTGTACCAGAATACTGAGCTGATTCAAAATCATCTTCAAAAGCGGGCATGATCGACGCTTAGCAGCCACCGATTAGGTCGTATGGGTAGTCTATAATGGCGTTTGCCGGGCTGCTGACAAGGCCGTTTGCAAAGCCATTAGCAAAGCCGTCGCCGTCTGTAGTTCAACTGAAAGGCTCAGTAGCCGATGCCTCCTAAACCTCCTGAAAACCCGCCGACAGATGGTAGCTGAAACTCCCCTCTTACGAATTGTTGTATTTCAGCTGACGAATTGTTGTATTTCAGCTGATTTTTTCTCATTTCACCTCTGCTTTACTCCCGTCCTTGGCCTGCAGCCAGGGTTTGGGTTTCACGTGCCACACTACCCACACCCACACATGCCGCCCGGTTTCATGCCCCCCCATGCGCCTGGTCAACCGCCCCAGCCGCACATGATGCACCCACATCAACCCGGCCAGCCGCAACCCCCGCCACCGCCGCTAACGGCGCAGCAGCAGTCGCAACAGGGGCAGCAGCAGCAAGGGCAGGGGCAGGCGCAGCAGCAGGGACAGGCGCAGCAGCAGGGGCAGGAGCAGGGGCAGGGGCAGCAGCAGGGGCAGGAGCTGACACAAGGTGCGCAGCAGCAGCAACAGCAGGATCAGAAGCAAGCACAAAGAAGCAACCAGCAGACAGGGCAGCAACCGTCAGGCCAGCAACAGCAACAGCAGCAGCAGCAGCAAGTGCAACAGCAAGGGCAGCAACCCAACCAGCCGCAGCAACAACAGCAGCCGCAGCAACCCCAGCAGGGCATGGCCCTTCACCATCCTCCGCCCGGCTTCATGCCTTTCATGCCCCCAGGCGCACACCCGTCCATGATGGGCGCTCACATGTTCGGCGCCCCTCCCCCCGGGTACCCCTTTCAAGGTCCTCCTATGTTTCAGCCGCCCCTACTCCGTCCGCCCTCGCCTGGCGGTAAGTCGTAGGTCAGGGACGGGCGAGCATCCGTCCATGATGGGTGCTCACATGTTCGGTGCCCCTCCCCCCGGGTACCCCTTTCCAGGAGGACCCATGTTCCAGCTGCCCCTGCTCCGCCCTCCTTTGCCTGGAGGTAAGTCGCGAGTCAGGGACGGGCGCACACCCGCCCTTGATGGGCGGAAACATATTGCGCACATGCCCCCCACACACGCCCCCAGTGATTGTCACCCCACCCCACTTGCCTTGCCCGTTTTCAACTCTCACTGAGACCGTGTTCTCCTCTTCCTTCCCCTTTCCCGCCAACTCGCCCGCCCCTCCCTTAAACCCCTTTTCCTTCCCCCCTCCCCGTTTCCCCGTTCCCCTCCCCCAGACCCAGCGCAGCCTGGCGATTCCGCCCAGTCAGCTGCAGCATCCGCGCACATCCGCCCAAGTCACATGCCCCCAGTCTGGCCCTTCTCACACTCATGCTGTCTCCCCACCCCCCATTCCTCTTCCCCCCTCGACCTCCCCCCCCTTCTCGCCCCCAGACCCAGCCCAGCCTGGCGATTCCTCCCAGCCAGGCGCAGCATCCGCGCACATCCGCCCAGGTCACATGCCCCCAGTGATCGGCGCCCCTCCCCACATGCCCCACATGCCCATGCACGCCTACCCCCGCCCCTCCCCCATGTCCTCCGCCTCCCCGCCCATAAACCCGCTCCCCATGGGCCGTGGGGTGTACAATCTCCTCCCCCGCGGAGGGCAGCAGCCTATGGGCGGGCGCGGGGTGGACGGTGGCGGAGGAGGGGGAAGGGGAGGCGGGCGCGGATGGGGGGGGAACAGGCGGGGGCAAGGCCCTGGGGGTGGGGGCCAGGCAGGCGGAGGGGGAAGCGGGGGAGGGGGAAGCGGAAGTGGCGTGGGCGCAAGTGCAGCTGCAGGCGGAGGAGGAGCAGGAGCGGGAGCAGGGGCAGGGGGAGCAGCGGGGGGAGGCGGGGGGAACACGGGGGGGGCGGGTTCCCCTGCTAACAGAGGAGCTGGTCTTTTAGGCAGCATGGGGGGACAGGGGCAGCAACAGCAGCAGCTAGGCCAACAGGGGCAGCAGGGGCAACAAAACGGTGTGTATGACGGGTCTAGCGAGCAGAACAGAGGCCCTAGAACGGGCAGAAGTAGGGGGCAGGGCCTTCCCACCCCCTCTGCACCTGGCGCTCCCAGTGCGTCTATGCCTATAGGAGCAGCTGCTGGCGCCATAGGGGAGCCTATCGGCGCTGCTGCTGCTGCTGCTGCAGCTGCAGCAGGGGCGGGAGCAGGGGCAGCTGGGGGAGCGGGGGGAGCGATGGGGGCAGCAGTGGCAGCAGGGGGGGCACGGGGCGGAATAACCCTGCGTCCAGACGAGTACAATCGGGCAGACTTCAAGACGTCGTACGAGGCGGCGAGATTCTTTGTGATAAAGAGCTACAGCGAGGACGATGTGCACAAGAGCATCAAGTACGGCGTGTGGGCGTCCACCCCCACGGGCAACAAGCGCCTCGATGCCGCCTTCAAGGACGCCGCAGGGAAGAGCAGCGCCACCCCCTGCCCCGTCTTCCTCTTCTTCTCTGTAAGTTTGCTGTGCTTGCTTCACCCACCCCCAATCCAGAAACCCCACCCTGGAAACTCCCAACCCAGAAACCCCCAACCCAGAGACCCCGAACCAGACGCCCCAATCCAGAAACCCAAAACAAGACAACCTGAACCAGATACCCCAAGCCGAGAAACCCTAAACCAGAACCGTAAGCCAGCCCCTCCCGGGGCTGCGGTTGTTTGTGATAAAGAGCTACAGCAAGGACGAGACGATGTGCACAAGAGCATCAAGTACGGCGTATGGGCGTCCTTCCCCACGGGCAACAAGCGCCTCGATGCCCCCAAGGACGCCGCAGGGAAGAGCAGCGCCACCCCCTGCCCCGTCTTCCTCTTCTTCTCCGTAAGTTCGGTGTTTGTGCATGTTCCTCCTTCGACCAGGTTCAGAAACCCTAACCCAGAAACCCCAAACTAGACACCCCGAATCAGACACTCTAAACCAGACACCCCAAACCGGAAACCCCTTAAACCCAAGATCCCCAACCAGAAGCCCTAAGCCAGCCAGCCCCCCCTGGGGGTGCGGTTCTTTGTGATAAAGAGCTTCAGCGAGGACGATGTGCACAAGAGCATCAAGTACGGTGTGTGGGCGTCCACCCCCACGGGCAACAAGCGCCTCGATGCCGCCTTCAAGGACGCCGCAGGGAAGAGCAGCGCCACCCCCTGCCCCGCCTTCCTCTTCTTCTCCGGAAGTGCCGTAACCCGAACAAGGAACCTGAACCCAGAAACTCCAAATCAGACAACCTGAACAAAACCCAAAACCCTGAACCAAACCCGAAACCCTGAACCAAACCCGAAACCCTGAACCATCCACTCGGGAATTGCGCTGCTGCCCCCTGCTCCGTCTTCCTCGTCATCTCGGTGTGTGCTGTGCTGTGTGTGCCTGCTCTGCCCCGCTCCAGAAACCGTAATCCAGACACCCCGATTCAGGAGCCCGAAATCAGTCACCCTAACACCAGCCACTTCGATCTAGACCAGTCACTCCTTCCCCCTCCCCCCTCCCCCCTCCCCCCTCCCCATTCCCCCGTTCCCCTCCCCCTCTCCCCTTTTTCGCCATCAGTTGCCTTCTACCCAGGTGAACGCGAGTGGGCAGTCCTGTGGGGTGGCGGGGATGCTGACCCCAGTGGACTTCACTCGCACACTTTATCTTTCCTTCCCTTTCCTTTCCCCCCCTCTTTCCCCCTTTCTCCCCTGTCTCGATCCCTCCTCTCACCCTCCCTGTTTCAGGTGAACGCGAGTGGGCAGTTCTGTGGGGTGGCGGAGATGCTGACCCCAGTGGACTTCACTCGCAGTGTGGACTACTGGCAGCAGGACAAGTGGAACGGACCTTCCCACCCAACTCTCACCTCCCTTCGCGCTCTTCTGTTCCCTCCTCTCTCCCTCCCCTCTGTTCCCTTCCCTCTCCTTCCCCTGTGTCTCTCACTGTCGTTGCCACTTCCTTGGCAGGTGAACGCGAGTGGGCAGTTCTGTGGGGTGGCGGAGATGCTGACCCCGGTGGACTTCACTCGCAGTGTGGACTACTGGCAGCAGGACAAGTGGAACGGACACTTCCAGGTCAAGTGGCATGTGATCAAGGACGTGCCCAACTCGCAGTTCCGGCATATAATCATCGCTTCCAATGATGGCAAGCCTGTTACCAACAGCAGAGACACGCAGGAGGTGAGAAGGGGTTGAGAGCGGTTGAAAGGGGTTAATGATGGGGGAGTGGGGGAAGTGGCGCGTGATCAAGGACATGCCCACTATCATCACGCAGTTCCGGCATATCATCATCGTGTCTAATGACGGCAAACCGGTCACCAACAGCCGAGATACCCAAGAGGTATGGCGGGTGGATGACGGATGTTGGGGGGGGTGAAAGGGGGTGAAAGGGGGTGACAGGGGGGTTGGTGATGGTCAAGTGGCACGTGATGGAGGACGTGCCCAACATGCAGTTCCGGCACATCATCATCGTCTCTAATGACGGCAATTCCTTCAGTTCCTTCCCCCCCCTCTCCTTCAACGCCCCCACCCCCTATCATCCCTCGTTCCCTCCTTCGTTCCCCCCCAGGTGCCGCTGCAGCAGGGCAGGAGATGCTGCGGCTGTCCAAGGGCTACTTGTTCCAGGGATTCACCCTCTCCCCCCACTCCCCCCTCTCCTCCTATCCCCCAGGTGCCGCTCTAGTAGGGGCAGGAGATGCTGCGGCTGTTTAAAGGCTACTTGTCGCTTATGCCATGCACTGCCCTTTCCCTACTCGATCCCCCCATCCACCCTTCCCCCCTCCTCCCCCCACCAGGTGCTGCTGCAGCAGGGGCAGGAGATGCGGCGGCTGTTCAAGGGCTACTCGTCCTCAGTGGCGCACGGTGCACTGCTGCTCATACATCTCGATTCCCTCCCACCATCCCCCAACCCCCTCCCCCTCCTCCCCCCACCAAGTGCCGCTGCAGCAGGGGCAGGAGATGCTACGGCTGTTCAAGGGCTACTCGTCTCCACGGTGCACGCTGCACTGCCTGCTCATTCTCCCCGATTCCTTGGTCCTCTCCCCTCGCCCTCCTCCCTCCTCCCCTCTCCCACCAGGTGCCGCTGCAGCAGGGGCAGGAGATGCTACGGCTGTTCAAGGGCTACTCGTCTCCACGGTGCACGCTGCACTGCCTGCTCATTCTCCCCGATTCCTTGGTCCTCTCCCCTCGCCCTCCTCCCTCCTCCCCTCTCCCACCAGGTGCCGCTGCAGCAGGGGCAGGAGATGCTACGGCTGTTCAAGGGCTACTCGTCTCCACGGTGCACGCTGCACTGCCTGCTCATTCTCCCCGATTCCTTGGTCCTCTCCCCTCGCCCTCCTCCCTCCTCCCCTCTCCCACCAGGTGCCGCTGCAGCAGGGGCAGGAGATGCTACGGCTGTTCAAGGGCTACTCGTCTCCACGGTGCACGCTGCACTGCCTGCTCATTCTCCCCGATTCCTTGGTCCTCTCCCCTCGCCTTCCTCCCTCCTCCCCTCTCCCACCAGGTGCCGCTGCAGCAGGGGCAGGAGATGCTACGGCTGTTCAAGGGCTACTCGTCTCCACGGTGCACGCTGCACTGCCTGCTCATTCTCCCCGATTCCTTGGTCCTCTCCCCTCGCCTTCCTCCCTCCTCCCCTCTCCCACCAGGTGCCGCTGCAGCAGGGGCAGGAGATGCTACGGCTGTTCAAGGGCTACTCGTCTCCACGGTGCACGCTGCACTGCCTGCTCATTCTCCCCGATTCCTTGGTCCTCTCCCCTCGCCCTCCTCCCTCCTCCCCTCTCCCACCAGGTGCCGCTGCAGCAGGGGCAGGAGATGCTACGGCTGTTCAAGGGCTACTCGTCTCCACGGTGCACGCTGCACTGCCTGCTCATTCTCCCCGATTCCTTGGTCCTCTCCCCTCGCCCTCCTCCCTCCTCCCCTCTCCCACCAGGTGCCGCTGCAGCAGGGGCAGGAGATGCTACGGCTGTTCAAGGGCTATTCGTCCCGCACGTCCATTCTGGACGACTTTACCTTCTACGACTCGCGCCAGCGCGCCATGCAGGAGCGGAAGACCCGCCACCCCTCCCACCCAACCACCTCCTGAATCACCCATGCTCCTCCTCCTCCTCCCCTCTTTTCCTCCTCTCCCCCTCTTTTCCTCCTCTCCCCCTCTTTTCCTCCTCTCCCCCTCTTTTCCTCCTCTCCCCCTCTTTTCCTCCTCTCCCCCTCTTTTCCTCCTCTCCCCCTCTTTTCCTCCTCTCCCCCTCTTTTCCTCCTCTCCCTCCTCTCGATGTCTGCCCCTCTCCCTGTTGCTCCGTTTCTCCATTCTCCCCGCTCTTCCCCCTCCAGGTGCCGCTGCAGCAGGGGCAGGAGATGCTGCGGCTGTTCAAGGGCTACTCGTCGCGCACATCTATTCTGGACGACTTTACCTTCTACGACTCGCGCCAGCGCGCCATGCAGGAGCGGAAGACCCGCCACCCCTCCCACCCGTTCCCGCACCAGCAGCAATCGCAGCACCTGCAGCAGCATCAGCAGCAGCAGCAGCAGCAGCAGCAGCACCCGCAGCAGCAGCACCAGCATCCTCATCAGCAGCAGCTGCAGTCGCAGCAGCAGCAGCTGCAGCACCAGCATATGCAGCAGCAGCAGCATCAGCAGCACCAGCAGCAGCTGCAGCAGCAGAGGCGGATTGTAGTAGGGCGGAACCCGGGACCAGTGCTTCTGCCTCAGGTATTTCTCGTGCCCGTCGTTTCTTTACCTTATCCCCCGCACTTGAAGTTCCTTCTCCCTCCTCCCCTACCTCTCCCCTCCCGTTCCCCCTACCATTCCCCTTCCTCTTCTCCTTCCCCGGCCTTCCGTTTCCCCCCCTTTCCCCCACTCCCCTCCCTCCCCGACTCCCCTCCCTCCTCCACTCCCCTCCCTTCCCGACTCCCCTCTTCCCACCTCTCATGCCTCTCGATCCCATCAACCCTTCCTTTGTTTCTGCTTTCGCTATCGCTACCCCCATGCAATACTGATTTAGCTACTACCTCACTTTTCCCCACCTTTCCTTCCTCTATTCCCATTACTCTTTCCCTCTGTTCCCCTGCTCCGCTGTTCCCTTGCTCTCTTGCTCCCTTTCTCCCCTGCCCCGCTGTTCCCTCTACTCCGCGGTTCTCCCCGCCTTGGCTTGACGCCCGCCTGCTAGACCCCCCCTTCCCGCCTCTCATGCCTCTCAACCCTGCCTTTGGCCCTGCTGGCCTGCCTCTTCCCACCAACGCTGCTGCTGGCCCCAGGCTAGACTGATGCAGCTATTATACTCACTCTGCCCCACCTATTTTCCCCTTGTCCCCTGGTCCCCTGCTCCCCTGCTGCCCTGTTTTCCTGTTTCCCTGTTCCCCTTGCTGCCATGTCCCTCTCCTCCCTCCGCCCTGGTTCTCGCAGCCGCGACCTGACGCGCGCCCGCTGGACTACCCCTTCCCGCCGCTCATGCCTCTCGGCCCTATCAACCCTGCGTTCGGCCCTGCTGGCTTGCCTCTTCCCGCCAACGCTGCTCCCGGCGCTGCTGTTGCTGCTGCCGGCGCTGCTGGGTTCGGGGGACACGGGAGAATGATGTATTCTCACACAGGGCCTATAGGAGCTGCTCCTGGGGCAGGGCGAGGGAGAGGGGGGCGAGGAGCAGCGGGAGCAGGAGCGGGAGCAGGAGGAGGAGGAGGAGGAGGAGTATCTAGTAGTGCGAGTGCTCTTGCCAGTATGCTTCCTGCTTCTGTCATGCCTAGCCCCACGCCTGCAGCCGCCGCTGCAGCCGCTGCTGCTTCTGCTGCTGCTGGGATAGGTGATGGGGAGAAAGTGGGAGTTGCTACTGGTGGTGCTTCTGCTGGTGGTGCTGGTGCTGGTACAGGTTCTCAGAGTGGTGGGGCAACAGGAGGGGGGACGCAGGAAGGTGAAGGGAAGAAAGCTGGAGGAAAGGGAGGGGAGACGGCAGCAGCGATTGCAGAGGGTGTGGCAGTGATGTCCCTTGGGGAAGGGAAATGAGGGTAGAGGAAGTAATGTGTGAGGGGAGATGAGGTGACTCGTGAGTCGACTCTAATGTCTGGAGGGGAAGGGAGGGGAGACAGCAGGAGCAATTGCAGAGGGTGCGTGGCAGTGATGTCCCTTGGGGAAAGGAAGTGAGGGGACAGGAGGGAAGGTGTGGTGGGAGATGTGTCACATAACGGGAGGGCTGTTATTCAAGGTGGAGAGGTGTTATGCAAGGTGCAGAGAGGTTCTAAACAAGGAGCAGAGAGGTGTTTCCCAAGGTGTAGAGAGGTGTTTCGCAAGATGCAGAGAGGTGTCATTCAAGTGTTACTCAAGCTGCAGTGAGGTGTCACCGCGATGTGATGCTCCCTTAGTGGGCATCAAGAGGTGGATAAAGAATTCAGGCACTATGATGCTTGGCAGAGGAGGAGGCTGGAGCAATGAACAAGATATTCGGAAGCTGCAAGAAAAGCAGCAGTAAGAACAATGGCGACGAAAGCAGGAAATTCCCTTTTTTCTGCTGTTGGCCCATCAGCAAAGTAGGAGAGGAGACAGGTAAGCAGCAGCACTGGTAGTACGGTAGTAGAAACATGTGAGTGAGCGAGCAACATGGACTCTGGTATGTGTGGTGATTTAAGGTCTGTTGCACATGGACTCAGCAAGCAATTATTGTGCACTACAGGCCTGGACTAGTTACCGCACATGACAGAAATGATGTTACGGTACCCGTCTAGTGGTTCTGTTCTTACAAAAAATGTCCAGATGTTGTTGGCAGTACGGTATAACTGGTTTTCCCACACCAACGTGTACCACTATCTGTAAGGAAAATCTCTTTTTCCTTACTTCGCGTCCCTGCTCAACGCATACGTCACTGTAGCACCACAGTCAGCACCGTTACCACTCGCAATCCTCGCATCGACAATCCGCCCGCCACCTTCGCACGTCGCACCCCGACCTCACGGCTCGGCGGGTAACCCGTGCTCCGGGCCTCCGCTTCGACACTTTTCCCAACCTCAGTTCCAGGCCCGTCGCGCGACAACCACAGTCCACTACCGTTACCACTGTAGTTTCGCTATATATTCTTCGCTCATGCCTTCGCTCATTGGACTCTTGCTTCGATAGTGCAATTCTCGTTCGTTCACTCGATTGCACTTGTAACACTTGGTATTCAGAGCCTACGATCTCCTCTCGGACCGCACCCACACCTTCGCTTCCCCACTATCTCAATTTTTGGGGGGGGGTAGACGTCTCTCAGCGACACAGCACCGCCGCTCGTAGTGCTCTCTCGTAAGCACGCACGGCCACGACCGAGGCTCTCGCTGAGCTTGCCCGACACCCCCGCCATGGCCGAATTCACGCTCGCCACATTGACGCAGGAGCAGCTCGACCGTCTGGTGCGCCAACTTGAAGACTCGGCGCTCGAAATTGCGACGCTCACGGCGGAACGTGACTCCGCACGTCAGCAATCCACGGTGAACATTTCAGCGCCACCACACGCACCGACAAATGCATCTGCACAATCGGACGAGCCGATCGTCATTTCGTCCGGCACACCAACGCAACACGACAGCGTGGGACAACGCTCAGGCGCAGCCAGTGATGGCGCCGCCCAGCCGATGCCTGGCATGGGAGGAAACAGGGTCGCACCAAGCCCGCGGGAGCCTCGTGAAGCCCGTCGGCACGTGGAGTTCGTGGCGACAAGTGGCGAACAGGCCATTATGGCACCCATGCCACTCAAGCCGCAACGCCCGCCCTGCTTCGACCCAAGCCAACGTGGAGGTTCGACGGTTCAATCGTGGGTTTTCACGATGAACGTCTTCTTCGACGCGAATTACGTCGAGTCGGACGCAGCGAAGATTTGGTATGCCGTTTCGCTGTTAAGGGGCCCCGCCATGGACTGGTGGCGAGTCATCGTGACGTCGCCACGTGCCTACGAGCCACCGTCGCAAGAGGAAGGGCCCACGGGTCCAGCTGTCACCTGGAGTTCATTCTGCGAGACCGCCCAATACAGCACGTGGGATGCGTGGTGCGCAAGGCTTCGGGCGCGCTTCGAGCCGATCGCAGCTTCTATTTCGGCGCGTCAGAGATTGCGCACTTGGGGGCAGCTCGGGTCGGTTCAAGATTACACGAGCGGTTTTCTCGCACTTTGCGAGCAGGTCGGCTACAAGCACGAAGCGGAGCGGGTGGACCGTTACGTCGGAGGGCTGAAGCCGGATATCTCGCACGAAATCATGCTGCGCGGACTCTCAAATTTCAAGGAGATTCTCGTGCTCGCCGAGAAAATCGATATTCTACGCCGACCGAGACTGGGGTCCTACTACGGACATCGTCCTCGGGGACCGATCGAGCACGCCACTGTAAACGCTGTTGCAACGAATGCAGCTGCCGCACCGTTTAAGGGGCGTTGCTTTGCTTGCAACAGGCCGGACCATCGCAAGAGCGAATGCCCAGAGGAGCTAAGGCGCCGCGGAGCAGAGCAGGGGGGGGAGTCTCAGAGGCAGGGAAACGCCAGCAGTCAGTAGAAGTTGGGCCAACTACTGACGAGACTGCCTGCTCGCCCAACCGCACCGACCCTCACCGAGTCACAGTACCGATTCACGCCATCGATCGGGCTTGGATGAATAAGGAGGGTACAGCGACGGATTGCCCAGTACTGATCCACGGGAAAATACAGGGAGCAGCAGTGAAGATTTTTATCGACGGAGGAGCAAGCCACAGTTTAGTTAATACCGCAACCGCACCAAAACTACAGCTGACACTTAGCCGTTGCTTACCGGAGATAGACGCACGCTTAGTCGACGGCACGCCACTGGCCATACGGGAAAAGGTAGAACGAGTCAAAGTCCGCTGCGGGGGAACTTTCGGGTTTACACAGGAAATGCTCGCAACGACACTAGATGGGCACGATATTTTAATGGGACGTGATTGGCTGCGACGGTATAACCCGCGAATTGAATGGACGACGGGTAGCTGCACCGTGCGAAGTAGTGGTAACTGGGTCGAGCTACCTCGCTGGCAGTCGCCCGAGTCTTCCACGGTCCACGTCAACGCCATCACGATGAAACGGGTTGTCGCCGCTGGAGCTGACGTGTACGCAATAGATATAGCATTAGTAGGAGAAGCAGAGGAGCCGAGCGATTTTCAGAAACTGTTGGCAGCAGTACCGCCCGAACTACAGGAACTGTTGAAACGGTACCCGGGGATTTTTCCAGACGACTTACCGGAAGGGCTGCCACCTCAGCGGGCGCATGATCATAGGATCGAGTTAGAACCGGGGGCACAGCCAACTGTACAGCGCCAGTTCAGACTAACACAGCCCGAGCTCGACAAACTAAGGAAGCAGTTAGATTATTTGTTAGAGAAGCAGTTTATTCGACCAAGTTCGTCACCGTTCGCCCCACCGATACTGTTCACACCGAAAAAAGACGGAGGGTTTCGCATGTGCATCGATTACCGAGCGCTCAACAGGGTAACAGTCAAGTCGCGGTACCCAATTCCCTGAGAAGAAACGAGAAAGAATGAACTATGAATGAACTGAGTACAAGTACTAACCCTAATTGGGTTGTACCCCTTATGGGCTACCCCACTATAGCCTACACAATAAGCACAAGCTATATGTTCTGACACACCCCCAAAGGCAAAGTGGAGGAGAAACAAGGGGTCACAAGACCAGTCAAGCAAAGCAAAGCAAAGCAAGCTCAAGGTGGATCACAAAGTCACCACACATTCTGAGCACAAGTTCAGGGCCACAAGGCCAGTTCACATGCAGGAGTACATATATATAAAGGACTAGACAAGCAAGAGCAGGTGTATATATATGCAACAGTACAAGCAAGGTCAAGAGGTGAGCAAGTGAGGCAAGACAGGCACAAGACCCAGCTGCGTGCAGAAGCGCTGATGATCACAAGGCGCAAGTGCCTTGGTGAAGACATCAGCAGTGTTGGCCTCAGAGGCCACGTACGCAAGCCGCAACTGACCACGTTGTTGTAGCTCACGAGCAAGGAAGTAGCGAAGAGCAATGAGCTTTGTTCTGTGCTCCAGTCTCTGCTCTCGACACAAGGCCAGCATGGCCTTGTTGTCTACGTACAGGACTGGAGGAGAACGAGGCGACTCTCCAAGGTCGGTCAGCAGGTAGGTGAGCCAGCGAAGCTCCTGTGCAGCCATGGCCCCGGCGTAGATCTCAGCCTCACAACTGGAGCCGAGAACAGAAGACGAGCGAGTAGCCCGCCACGAAACAGAGCCGGAACCAAGGCTGAAGGTGTAACCCTGTGACGACCGCTGCGTAGCCT